CCACTTCATTGCACATGACTTCATTGCACATGACTATTATTCAAATTTCATGTGAATAGCTGCATTGAAAATGTTTAATTAAAAAAAAATGTTGACATGTTGAATACTTATTTCACACACTGTATGTGGATTGCATTCATTTAGAATTGTAAGAAAATATTCAGCTGCATCTTCCTGCTCATACATTGAAATGTCAGTCATTAGCTAGATTTGACTTTCTGTGCAAACTGCAAGCAATGAAATGAAAATGTGTAAAAAAAAACATTTTTTTTTATTTTTACTACTCAGCAGCTTGTTTTCATCAAACTGACTTTTAAGTTGTGGTTTATGCATAAGAAAGTTTTATTTAACTACGCTGTGAAAAACAACTGGGGATTTTAATTTATGAAATTAGTGTGTGGGGGGTGCTGTTACATGTAAGCAGTCTCTCCCTTCACAAGTGTGCCTGCTCAACAATTAGTCATGTGAGAAGGACCTCAAACCAATCAGAGGCCTGGCTGGTGTAGTTGGGGGAGGAGCCTGGGCCTTAAAAGGAGGCCTTCAAGATGGCTGAAGAGAGAGGGCTGGTCATATGTGTGCTGTGTTTTAGTTTGTGTTTAAATCTCTTATGTTGGGAGTGTGCTTCTGTTTTAGGTATTTACCTCCACACATTTAACATTTGTTTTGCAAGAGATTATTTAATTATTTGTACCACCTGGGGTTTCAAAGAGGTAAGAGAGGTGTGCCTATACATTCGTGCCATGTAAAAGTCTACTCTGTCTAGTTCCCTAGGTTAGAGGGTGGGAAGTGCCACTTATACTTTTGATTATTGGCCAGGGAAGCTTTTGTTTCCTTTTTTTAGGTTAGCTAAGTACTTTTTGTTTCAGAGTAGGCAAGCATGGTTAGGTTTAGTTTTGTTTTTTTCTTTGGTGCCGTCAACAGTTTGACTCTTCCAGTGTGGTACGAGGCATCATAGCACACCATTTGACTGTGGTTGGTTTTAATTAAATAGCCTCAAAAGCTCTGTTGGTCAGTTCCTCCAGCTTTTAATCCATCATCACCAGTACAGTCTTTTAATGCCACATTACTGATCCCACAGCACCTTAGACAAAATGTTGGGCTGTAACTTAAATTTTTGAACTTCAAATAATAAGTTGACAGGACATAAACCACAGACACATAAAACACTTGTTCTGTTAACTTACTATTCAAAAGTATAGTGTGTGTGTATGTGTGTGTATGTATGTATGTGTGTATATATATATTTATATTTATACACACACACAGTATGTCTTTTAGAAGATTATGAAAAACATTTTTAACGCTTTAGAAAGTTTGTCAACATATGCTATGGAAATTGTTGGTAATATTTTATGAATATTCACAAAACTTTTGTTTAACTTTTTTCAGGAGAAATAAAATAAATAATACAAAAACCAAATGTGATGTGATGGGTTTCCCTCACATTAAACTAAATTACAGCAAACACATACAAAAACATGAAAAGACAGCAGCCTTTCTAAATGGAAATGATCAAACAGCTCTATATGACAGAAACATGATCTCAGTTAGTGCTGAGCAATATGAAAAGATATATTGATATTGTGATAAATTGTTACAATATAATACAATATGCTTTTCTGAACATATCATGCATATTGTCAGTACTTTAGAACACTGACCAACTGCATGTTTCAGGGCAAATAGAGTAAAATTAGTCCTGTTTAACTGGATTTAGTGCAACACAGTATGTCACACATCGAAGTTTCTAATGTAGATCTATTGGTTCTGTTGTCTCTGTTCCAACTGTTCAGTTTACTGAAAAAAATAAATATTGTGATATATCGAGTGTCATGAAAACTTGAAGTATTGTGATGTTGGATTTTTGCCATATTGCTCACCTCTAAGCTTTGTTCTGATAAAAAAAAAATAGGCCTAATAATATGTCGGTATGTTGATCACATATTGCATACTTCTTACTACTTTTAGGCACAAGCAGTACCTGTGCAGTATGTAGTAGGCAATTTCAAACAGCCATGTTTCCATCTCTAATTTCATGTATGTTGCAGCTTCCCTGACTTCCCCATAACCTACAAATCAGAATATTCTGTATGTATCATTAATCTATTTGAACCATTCTGTGAGAAATCTCTTTTTTTTGCCACATAAAGCTGTTGGAGCACTTTCACTTAGAAAGGCTGTAGCCTTTCCAGCTCTACCTCTAAACCATGCTGTAAGATGCACATGAGGGAAATGCATCACATGATGCTAAATTTATGTGCAAATTCTTCTTGAAAAAAATGTGTTTCAGGTATCAATGGAAATGTTTTGCTAAAGTTGAATGGAAGTTTGAAACTCATAAAATATTACTGACACAATATTACTGTTTTCATAGCCTGTATTCTCAAACGTTTTGAAGTATTAAAATGTTTTTTTTTGTAAATTTTTGTGCAATAAAATAATTCAGTACCTCAAAGAAGAGAAAATGGACAAAATGAACTGATGTAAGATTCTGATTGTAACAGGTCAAGTTTGTCTGACCCACTTCTCAACTTACAGTTCCATATGTTCAGGCTTTGGGTCACTCTTAAGAGAGAGGCACACTGGTCAGATTCTCCTCTGTTTAAGTTTTCAAACAGCTCTCTCAGTGAGGACAGCAGTTCCACACCTTCATTCTTCTCATGATTCTGAAAACTGCTGACATCATTAGTCATCATGATTTCACAGTGCTGTCACTCTTCCCGTGTTGAATGGATGTTGATTGTTAAACCTAATTTGAGGATTGTTTTTTTGTACTGTAACATTTATTTCTCTGTTTCTGTTTCTTTAATTCTCCCTGTCTTGCTTTATAAGTTGGTCATCTAACAGCTTTCATGTCGTCAGAATGCTGAAACACGTTAAAGCTCACATTTCCTGATTAAATACATCAACTGTTGAAAAATCTAGTCAACTAACCCCAACACGCTCTCTCTAAATTCAGTGGTTATAAAGAGTGTCTGCAGCACAACATTTAAATAGCAGGTCGCTCCCAAGTTCGTCAGACCGACATGAGGAGCTACAAGGAAGAAGATGAATTAGTCCATAAAACATGAAAAAACAAACTGTCATAATGAAACATTGTTGTGCTACAGAAAATACAGTAACTTAGACTAAGAAAATAGCATATAGTAATACAAAAAATGACAACAAAGTACATGGCTGAAAATATATAAACATAAGTGTTGTCCAAAAGAAATAAATAAATTATTCTTACATGCCACAACATATCCCATCTTACAGAGTTATCTACACCAGCTGTGAGAACACTGAACGATATTCTCTGTACAGGCTTATCCAGGCAACAGCAAAGGCACTCTTTCGATGAAAGTAACTCTACTTCCCCTTACCAGACACACCTGAGCATGAAGTGAAGTCCTTCAGTGGGAGGGAAACTGACCTGTAAATAAAACAAGACATTTATTTATTTTTTATTTAGGCTTTCACTGCCCTCTTATGTTGAGTCACTTTCACTTACTTAAAAGCAGTCACCAACATGCAGTGTTTAGTTTCGATCTCTAATATTTCTTTCACTGTGTTTATGCTTAGCTGTGGAACAGCTGCTTCAGTCTATCGCTGATGACTGAGCAAACTATCACTGATGGCCACTCTAGGCTCAGAGCAAATTGTAAGCAAAATCATTCCATGTTTGAGGCAAGGCTGTGGCCAAATATAGCCTTAAATAAAGCCAAGAAGTTTGTGTGGAACTGCCATGTTTCTTCAATAACATAAAATGCTACAGTATGTTTAACCACTTCTTGCAAGGGATACATTGCAAGGGAAATAGTGCCCCAAAGAAGACCTATTTGTTACTACTGCTTCACTTTTATCCATCATTACATAAAACAAAAACTCAGAAGACACATGGAGGTTCACTGGTTGTTTTGGATAGTAAATAAAATGGTTCTATTTGCGTTGCAGAGATCACAACGCTTGGTTCTTATCACCAACACTGTAAAAAGTCACTACACTTGTCTTCAATAGAATATTTCACATCAAACCACTAATTAAATTGCTTCAAACATTTTAAAAATGAGTGGAATTATTATTACTCTTTAAGGTCACCATGGCCAATGCAAAGTGTTAACAAGAGGGGAATAAAGCCCCCCGTAGCATTGCGCTGTGCAACAGTGGGACTGTGTTTTCTAGTGTGATATCCAACACCAGTAGCTCACTAAAACCCATGTGGCTGAATGCAATTCAATCCTCAAGCAGTGTTCCAGCATCTAGTGTTTTGAAAAATCAGTGAAATTCAGCATGCTTGCAATAGCCAAGACCAAAACAGACATGACAGATACAAGTGTCGTTTTTCTACAGGAAGAGACTTTGCTACTGTACTGATTCCATTGTGAAAATTTGTATAATGCAGGTTGTGAACTTGACATCAGCCTCTATTGTTAGCCAATATTTCTTGGTAGACTTTGGATGGGGCACTTCGCTGCATAATAAAAAGTTCTAGATGCAGAGCTGGACATGTCAGAGATACACTGCAGTAAGTGAAGCAAAATGTGCTTGAGTAACATTGAGAGATTTTCCTTATTTTGACAAGCATTACTGCATGATTGAAACACTACTGCTAGGTTTTAAGCAGATAATTAAGTGATGGTTATGTTGACATTAAAGCTTTAGTAGTAGTGTAGCCTCAGGGGTTGTTCTAGGGCAGTGGTCACCAACTCTACTTTTAGAGATCTATCTTCCTGAACACTTTAGCTCCAACCCTAATCTACCCACTTGGCCTATCTAATTATGCCTTCACAACTAAACCTTGTGAACTGACACACTGGTGTGACTGAATAGTGAGACTTCTTGAAGTATCAAATACTGGTTGACTGTTGGAAGATTCATTCACATGTTTGAAGACGTCTGGAATGGAGAAAGATTATTTGTGCTACAGATCCGAGTGGACTGACAGTCTGTGGGAGGAGCTACCTGAGTTACGAAATGTCACTGGCATGATAGCAAGGCGTTGTTGATACCAGGTGCAAAGAAGAATGCAAAATCCTTAGCTGGGAGATGAGAGGCGGGTGTAGCCGAGTGTGGATATAAGAATCAATTTCTTTGTCTGAGTGAGAGCTCAAAGATTTTACTGTCCCTTTGGGTTTGCTATCCTTTTAAAGACAGCCAGGAAACTGGTGAGTAAAAACACAGTGTATGTGTGCAGTGAAGAGTGATAGAGAGAGAGAGAGAGAGAGAGAGAGAGAGAGAGCTTGCCTGTGATTAAAATATATGCATTGAAGATTGAGAGAGAGAGAGAGATTAAGTGGGAAAGAGAATGATAGACAGAATTTTAATGGATATTAAACCATTAATTTGTCCCTGTTTGTTTACCTGTTACAAAACCACAAACAATGAAATGCATTTCTACTATTTTGATACCCTAAAAACAGGGATTTCACTGCCTTTTTCCTTTGTGACCTTTAGATCAGTGCTTAATGGTCTGCAAATGAGTACATGACAGGAAGTTTTCTTTCCTCTCTATATGTTTTCACCTACCAGTAGAGATACAGACAGGAGGTAGGATAATTAGGCAGGTTGAAAATGATGAAGATGAAGTGTTACACTACCACTTAACGCAATAAGCACAGTGCACAGATATCAGTGCACATTTAAGACATATAGCAACTGTGATGGTGTTAAACAACTGAATTTAATGTGGATACTAACTTAGGATCTTCTGTTAAATGCTACCATTTTTTAAAGTTATAGCAGTCATAGCATTAACACTCTTGAATTTGCAATTCAGCATTTCCACCTTAATTTATTTTGTCCTTTGTGGTTATTTCAGTAAGTCGGTATAAGTACAAAGGTTGATCCTCCCTAAAGATTTCATACCGATGGGCACGTAAACTTCAGATTGTTCATTGATGTTGCAAAAACAATAATAGGTTGTGTGCAGAAACCCTGACACACCCTTGATGCAACAGAAAAAACTGGCCATACATTGTCTAGCATTTATAACAGGTTTTGTAACATACTTCATACATGAGTCATAACTCATGTTTTCAGCATTTTCCACAAAGCATGTATAGAGCACGTAGTGTTATCAGTGAGGCTGTAGTGTGATGAATGCAAAACAGGAAATCCAGCTTCCAAGCTAATTTTAGTTCACCCACAGTCTGTCAAACCTGGCTAACAACTGCTCCTATTCAACTTAAACCTCTGTTTAAAAATTCAAGCTGGTATAACTTCCCTATAAAATGCTGTTTGTGAAAAATCAGTGGAATTCACCTCTAATTTTACTCTTCACATTCTGAGAGTTTGTCTTGACATGCAATAAATTTTGAGTGCTTGCAGAAGCCAAGACCAAAACAGACATGACCTATGTTTTTAGACATGACCATGACCTAGACCTACGTCCATTTGCTTTTGCCACAGCAAATAGACATATCCCCTCTGGCGGACCCAGCCCCACCTTTTACAATAGTCCTTAGCAGTCTAACCTCATGAATAAATACTGAAGAACAAATAACCTAAAACTAACAAGTAAACATTTCATGGAAAACGCAATGTTTACATATCACTTAGCTCCTTACAGTCACCGATCATTTAAATGGTACTCTGTCTTTGTACGGATTGTTTCACTCCATCATTGAGGAAACCAGTTGATGTCTCAGAAAATGTCATTTAAAATTGTGTTTAAATGAACTTTTAAATGAATGTTTATGACATGTCTCTACTTTTTTTAAGAAACTCCTATTTAAGAAAGATTTCCCTTTTTGAATATTGAGAACAGCTTACAACGATAAGGAAATGCAATTGCAAATAGGAGATTGTTTTTCCATTTTTTACATGTTGGAGTCATACCATTATGACAATGAAAATGTCAAGCACTTTGCATTTCCATTTTAACTTGTTTCAGCCATTGCAGAAATGCAAACTCAAATACATATTTTGCATTTAAATTTGAATTATGTCTTGAATAATGCACATTTACATTGGAACTGCAAGTGTAAATACACAATTTAATAAGCATTTTCAAATTTGCATTTGAATTTGAAAAAGTCTGGAATATGCTGCCATAGTTAGGAAGCCCAATCATACAACCACACCCTTCAGGTCTCATGCATTGGCTGTGAGGGTCACGCATTGGGCCAGGTCTCAGCTCCCTAGTTAGCTCGATATCTTACCTCAGTTTCCTTTCTGTCTAGCTGAGAGGATAATGTGTCTTTGGTGTCCATGATGAATAAAGCAGTGTATAAAGACGTAATCACAAAATTCTTTACGGTCCGCTTTGGTCGATATCCCAAAAAACTGGCTCTTATAGTCCTCTTGTAGTCCTCCAGTTTGAAGTGTTAACTACACATTCACAAATATATCTACATTTTTTCCAGCTAGATATGTTTCCTATAGCAGTGAACCACTTTGTGCAAAGTCTGACAAAAAACAATACTTTTTGTTTTCCACACCTGGGTTGCCTGTACAGGCATGCTTGGTATTGTTGTGAAAGAACACGAGGCAAAACACATGACACTAAAACAAAATAACCTATCAACACTGGTTTTATGTCAAAATATTCCTTTAAGTTTGAATAATCTCATATAATCAAGACACATAGGAAACAAGTAAACCATCATTCATCATCAGACACTTATTTATCACTGTTTCAATCTTTTTTCTTATGTATGTTTGTATGTATGATTTTAGGATTAAAGACATGGCTACCTCCAGCAATTCTTTAAGCGAGGAGCAGGTAACATGCTCAATCTGTCTGAACGTGTTCACTGACCCTGTCACCACTCCATGTGGACACAATTTTTGCATGACTTGCATCAGAAGGCACAGAAACAGCAGTCCACACTCCCAGTGTCCACTGTGTGGTGAGAAGTTTGACTCATCTAAATTCAAGATAAACACAACAGTCAAAGAGATTTCAGAGCACTTCAAAGGGAAGAGGACGCAGGTGACCTGTGACAGCTGCTCCAAGAGAAAGCGGAAAGCTCTGAAATCCTGTCTACACTGTGAAACATCTTTCTGTGAGGTTCATCTGGAACCTCATAAAACTGCAGAAAAACTGAAGAAGCACAAGCTGATTGACCCTGTGGAGAATCTGGAAGACTACGTATGCAAGAAGCACAAAAGACCTCTGGAACTGTTCTGCAGAGATGACCAGACATATGTGTGTTATTTTTGCACTGAAACTGACCATAAGAGTCACAACACTGTTCCCATGGACGAGGAAAGTGAAGTAAGGACATTTACCCATCTCAGACAGAATGTATCGCAAACATTGAGCAATATTTGTATTCTATGCAAATCTCAGTTCCAAAAAGTCAGACAGTGTGTGAAATGCTGATAAATACAGAAAGCATTGATCTAGTATTTTTTTTAAGTAATTTTGGACCATTTGTATTGATCGATGAAATTTTAACACAATAGAAACAGTAACTGGAGTTTTCAAATGATCCAAAAAAGTAAAACATGATAAAAATGGAGGTACAAGGTTTTTGTGTGACAACAACGATATGTTGCTCCAAAATGTGCATATGTCTTTCAGCGTTAATGGCGCCTTCTAAGATATACAAATTTGCAATGCAATGGTACACCCCCGTATCATGAGAGACCCTGGCTTTAGAACAGATGCTGGCAACAATCTGGATGGTCTATTTCTTCTTCGGCCCAGAGAACATGACGTCCATTTTCCACTAACAATCTGAAAGGTTGTGTTAAAGGAATTGAAGGTCATGGGCATTAAGTTGTGTTTTTTTGACCTTGTCCTGTATACACGGAGATCTCTCCGGATTCCCTGAATCTTTTGATGACAGTTTGCACTGTACACGGTGAACTACCCTAAATTTATTACAATCACTTGTTGTGAAATAAACTGTTGTTCTTAAACTGTTAGCAAAGTGTTGAGCCTCAACCCATCTTTGCTCACAAAGGAGTAGGCCTTTCCTGGATGCTCCTTTTATACACAAACAAGATTACATCACTTGTTTAAGATGTTTTTTTGAACATCTCTCAATCTTCCTAGTCTTAAACTGCCCCTGTCCCAACATTTTTGGAATGTGTTGCAGGCATATGTTTACAAATAAGTTGATAAAGTAAAACATTAAATGTCTTTTTACTGTTTTCATTTAAATGCAGGTCAAAGTGGATTTACAAAACACTGCTTTCTGTTTTTACTGTCCTTTCACATACTGTCCCAACCTCTTTGGAATTGATGCTTGTAATTGAAATCAAATATTCAAATGTGTGGCATAAGCATGAAATTGTGGCTGATCTCTAGAGGATCTGTCTAGAATCTTCCCCATTAACTTGACTTAGTACTTCATAATGAAGAGGTTCTGTCACATATTGGCTTGTCATTGATCCCTGGGTTTCGGTAGCAAATGACGGCAGGGTTATTCTCTATCCTTTCTTCTCTAAAATGTATTTGGAAATCACAACCTAAAGTCAACTGAATATAAACTAAACAATGTACATCCATTATTAAATGACAACATCTGATCTGCCCTCAGGGCATGTTTGAATTTTGAATTATAGAACTCGTTCATGCTTAAATGATTCTTTGCATGGTGAAACGCTCCTTCAGACTGATTGAGAATGTGTTGTATGTGGTTCTATATAGAATTTTTGAAAATTGTTCTATATAGCACCAAAAATGATTCTTCTTGTAACTATAGAAGAATTGTTTTTGGTGCTATATAGAACCACTTTCAAAAAAATTGATACTGAAAGCTTGACATTGTAACAATAGAAGAACCATATACAACACATATGTTGTATAACAAATGTCCATTAGGATGAAGAACAATTTCACCATGCAGCTACTTAAGCTTGAAGTGAAATTCCCTTTATTAAAGAAGCCTTGAAGAACCATCTTTTTAAGAGTGTGAAAAAGATTAAGTAGGTCCTCAACCAGCAGCAAACAGATTTTATTTAAACATGTAGAGAAAGGACTGTTTTGTTCTGTTTGAAGAAAGTAATGATAATAACAGAAAAGTTCAGTTTCCACTTACCTCAGATGGGGCACTGCTCTTAGCACGTCTTGAGAACAATTTCTGTGTCCACCTTGCTCGGAGACAGATACAAGTCTGAGATGATGATGATGTAGAGAAGAAGAAAAAAGATGTTCCTGTCTCTCCACAGATTCTCCAAGCAACAGTGAAAATAAAGATGCAGATGATGATTCAGGACAGAGAGCAGAAGATTGCAGAAATCAAAGATTCATTAAGATTAATTAAAGTGAGTATGGTTTTGACACTTAACAAAGCTGTTTTTTGAATTGCCTTTTTGTTGCAGTTATGCTCAGTATGTTTTTTTTCTTTCTACATTAGGAAACAAAAGAGAGAGAAACACAAGAAAACTTTAAGTTCTTTAATCAGCTGATTGAGGGAAGCCATGCTGAGCTGCTTGAATCTATGGAGGAACGAGAGAAAGCAGCAGAGAGGCAAGCCGAAGAGCTGATCACAGAGCTGGAACAAGAAGTCAGCGAGCTAAAAACAAAATATGCTAAACTGGACCAGCTTTCAAATCCAACATACCACCCTTACCAACTGCAGGTGAGCGTTCTCCTCACTGCTCCACTGCAATACAACACACTACACCATAACGCTCACAGTGCTAAAAGAGAAAATGTCCTCTGCTTTAGATTCCTAGCTACCTAAGCAGCAGGAAGCACCAAACTGATGTGGGTTTCCACACTCATATTTATTTGGAACCTTTGAGGTTAACGCTGTCTCAACTTCAGGAGGGCCTAGATGAGAAGATAAAAGAAATAGGTAAGACTTTGCAGTTAACATACTTCCTTCTACAGATATGGTGTGTTAATGAGTTATAAAATACAATACTGTCAGTTCTAATGCAGAGATTTGTGAAAAAGAGAGTAAGTCATTAACACCTTGATTCATTTCACTTAATGTTACAGTTTCTAAAGAACTGAACAGCATTCGTCGTTATTCAGGTACAGATAATTTTCTTTTTTATACTATCGATGCCCATATCCTACATTATTTATTGTAAAAATACAATTTTTTCTCCTCAGGTCTTAACACTTGTACAGTTTTGTTTTTCAAAAACAGTCATGATTCATTTATTTTTCATTTTTTATCTTTATACCTTACAATTAAACAGGCTATTTTCATCACAGTGACTTTAACACTGATAAATGTAAATGATCTCTGTTCTGATTGGCTGCCCTGTGTTGTGGCTGAAACACTCCTTACAACTTCAGTGTGAAATGGCAGAGCTTAACTACAGAATAGGCAGATATATGTAAATGCATCGCTTTTGGTGACATCACAAAAACAATTCAGCTTAATTCCAATGTGGAGAATTCGACAGAATTTTAAATCGAGCTGTTTTCCCCACAGTAAAACATTTAATACTATTTAATAAACAATTATGCATCCTAACCTTAGATATTTACAGGGATTATGTTATGATGAAATTTCAACCATTTTTTTAATGATTTTACAGATTTCTTTAAAAGGAAAGTTGAACAGTGTAGTTTTATCATGAGTTTCATTTTTAAAAAATGCTCACCCACATTTTCATGTCACTACTGTAACACAAATGGTTTTAGTCCAGAGGCCACACCTCTGCATTTTAGAGCAGGAAGAGAGACTGCATCCCTGTCCCTCATCACCACATGGGGAGCTGTTATATCTCACTCTTTTGAGGTAAAAGTGTTCCAAAGTCTGAAATCAGAATTGTCACTACCGAAACACATGTTCTGCGACTATGTAAACCTTTTATGTTTAAATAAAAAAAATTATGATTTCATGTGTGTACAGCTGCTCAAAGCTGAATTTGTTAGTCATGTACTGGATAGCGTTTTTTGAGTTACGCTCACAGTTAACTTAAATTGTCACTACCGAAACTGTCATTACTGAAATATTTGGTCAAGTTTTGGTAGGGTTATCACTGTTTTGGTAGTGACAAAATGGAATGTTCTGTTAAAAGTCCAAAATGTGTTTTCAGCTGTGACTTTGAACGAATTATACGATCCATATATGGATTGTATGGACTAGGGAGTGAATGGTGCATTTTGAAACAATGTTTAATCTTCTTCCTAAAAAGACTTACTTTATTTATTTTTCTTTTATTAAATTTATTTTCTATAATATGAGCCTTTCTGAATCTTGAACTATCACAAAGCTACAGGGAGATTCACTCCAAAGAGGCCCGGAATATTCTGTAATAACTCTCGCTAGGACAAAGCAATCTGAACGAAACAATGTGCAATGTGATCCTCGGTATATGGAGCTTCGAACAAGCTGGGATGCCCCTCCGTCGGAGCAATGAGGTAGGCGCCGGATAGCCATCGCAACGTTTAATCTCCTCATGTGTCTGGCAAAAAACAGAGATCACTTCCAGCATCGCATGATTACACATACGTCAAGATATGTAGCGTATTTTTTTGGTTCAGATTGCTTCATCCTAACGGGAGTTACAACAGAATATTCGGGACCTCTTTCGAGTGAATCTCCCTGTATAATGTGATCCTTGACTTGTCTTATTGACTATTAATGGAGTACTTACTATCACCCCCACAGTTGATGTGACTTTAGACCCTGACACAGCCCATCCTGAGCTCCTCTTGTCTGATGATGGGAAGCAGGTGTGGAATGGAGGCAAAACACAAAATGTCCCTAACAGTCCATTTAGGTTTGATTGGTGCTCCTGTGTCCTCGGAAAGGAGGGGTTCTCTGGAGGGAGATTTTACTATGAGGTCCAAGTGAGTGGGAAGACCGAGTGGGATTTAGGCATGGCCACCGAGTCTATAAACAGGAAAGGGGATGTTGAGTTGGGTCCTGAGAACGGTTCCTGGACTATATGGCTGAGGAATGGGAATACGTATGATGCAAATGAGATACCGCCTGTTCGTCTCTCCCTGAAAGAGAAGCCCCAGAAGGTTGGGGTCTTTGTGGATTATGAGCAAGGTGTGGTCTCCTTTTATGATGTTGAAGCCAAGTACCATATATACTCTTTCACTGGGCAGTCTTTCTCTCAGAGGCTTTACCCATATTTCAGTCCTGGTGAAAATGAAAGGGGCAAAAACTTAGCTCCACTAATCATTACAGCTGTAAGTAACACTGAACAATAGATCAGCCTGGCTACACTGTAAGAGTCAACTTGAAATTTCAACCATCTGCACAGATGTATTTTTTTCATCTTCTTAGTTTAGCAATACAGTTTGAGTTGGGATTAATCAATAAAACAATTGCTTATTGTTTTTACTCAGTCCCTAACCCCACCCACCCCTCCTACACACACAATTTAATGGATGCAGTTAAAATTCTGTGTAACTTCAGCTTATAAAGAGGTGACCACATCAACTGTTTTTAAAGTTCAGATCAACTGAAACTGTATTTTAGTACTAAGATGCCAATAGTCTTAAATTTTTACACTGCAAAAATGGCTCATCAGATCAACCTAAAGAAATTACTTAATGTGGTAACAAGTAAATGAACTAGTTTTATTCAACCTAAATAAATATATTAAATGAATGATTCTTTCAATCAGTGTAATTTTTTATTTGAATAAAACTAGTTAATTTCTGGTTACTACATGAAGTAATTTTTAGGTTGATCTGATGAGCCATTATTTAAAGTGCACATTGACTTTTAATTTTCTACAGTGTCATAGAATGGTGTAATGAACACAATGACAGGGAGTATGGATTGACTTTTTAAGCGTCCTTTTTCTTTCTGGGTTTTCTTGGGTCTCAGCATTTTATTACATGATGTGCCATATTTTGCTTTTCCAAAAACCAAAAACAAACAAACAATAAAAAAAGCATCTTCATTTTTGTAAATGTAATTTTTGTACATCATTTGAGGAAAGCAACTGCCCTTTACATAAGTTCCTCATGAATGGACCAAAAACTGCTTGGAATAAAACCTTTTTACATTAACTTACGTTAAAGGTTAAGTGCATTTTTGTCTTCTCCTATAACGTTGCCATTTTGGGAACACCTTGTTTTGTTTTTGTTTTTTTTTGTTTGGATGCCAATATATAGCCTGATGTGATTTTTATTTATCTATACTATCCTAGCTGTAGATAGCTGAGGAGGGGAGCCAAAGTGCATGTTTTATACATTAACACAACACAATATTTCCTTGTTTGTCAAAACCAGAGGTTGTTTTTGCCAGAATCCTGATTAAGCAGTTGAGACATATATATATATAATATATATATATATATATATATATATATATATATATATATGCATGCACATGTGTGTGTATATGTGTGAGTATATGTATATTTAAGAATAGTGCTTTTTTGGTATGTTTTTTGACTGTAAGTAATTTAACAAAAGAAAAAAGACTAAATACTGAATACAGAATGAATTTAATATTAATTAGGGAGAAAAAAAATAAACCACACTCACTGATACATTCAGAACATAAAAGTAAAGTTGTTTTTCTCTTGAATTGATCATTATTTGACAGAGCTGACTTCAACCAGGCAGTAAAACCGCAAACACAATTTAATTTACCCTATCATGGGCTGCCTGTGCTTCTCAACAAATCACGTGTTCATTGCTCTGGGATGTGCCAGCACTTTTTCAGTGAGTCATCTATACTTGTCATTCTCTTTCACAAAAATGTTGAGAAATGAAGCTGCATGAAGAGGGTTCAATCAATGATCATTATGAGATAATGTGATATTTTTTGGTCTATGATTTAGAGAATCTAATCCTGAACATTCTCCACATGACTGGTACCAGACACATTATAACAACTCCAGCTATGATAAAGCGATTGCGCCGTACAAAAGGCATACGGCTGAGTGCAGTAGATTTCAGGGGTTTTTGCAGCGCACAATCTCTTCCGCTTGGTGCTGCTGTGAGAGAAAGGGTGAAAATATAATGTCAAAGCTAAGATAAACCAAATAACACTTTCAGATTAACTATAAAATTTACATATTTGTTACATATTTACATATTTGTTTCTGAACGCTTTAAAAACAGCATAGCTACAGAAGACATGCAGTTATTGCTATTTTGTAAACAAGAAGGATGAGCAACTGTTCACTCACTTTGTCTGTACATCAGTAAGTAGGCCAGCCGTGACCTGCAAAATTTAAAATTAAACAGATATGTCTGGAATTTAGTAAAATACATAAAAAGTAAAATACATAAATTATAACCTTCTCTAAATTTTATATATATATATATATACATACATATATACATCCTAAAATATAGTACTCACTTTTGGAGGGTGTCCACTGAATCCTGTGTGTGTGTGTGGGGGGGGGTGGTAGCACACAAAAGATAAAAAGAATATAAATAACAGAAAATAGAAAATCAAAGCAGGACAATGACAAGCACTTTATTGTAAATACCTTTGTGACAAAAGAGTCGTCAAAGCAGTACCACTGATCATCCTCAAATGACTTGATGACAGCATTGTAGTGGCCTCCACTTCGATCACCACTGTGGTTAACAACTGCATAAAGATCATATTCATAGTCCTGAGGAGAAAAAGATACAGTTAACCTCAGAACCAGCAGAAATGCTCATTTAAGTACTAATTATTGCTAAGGGAAAAGGTCATATGATGTATGTATTTGTGTAAATGTGTTACTCGATTACTAATACTGATTTTATTTGATGAGTTGGGTTAAAAATGTTAGACGTACTTTAAGCTGTAGAGTCAGGGGAATCTCCATGGGACAGTGGTTTTTCACATGCTTCATCTGCATGTAGTCAAAGTCAAACCTCTTCAGATGCAGAGTCAGGACTGTGGGAAACTCTTCTATTTCATTCCACTGAGGATTGAATAATAAGGACATGATATAAAAATTGTGAGAGGAGATAAACACGGTTGATACAGGACTGACCAATACACCACAGTGAGAGAATGACTTCAGCCTTCTTCATACTGAGATGGCATTGATGTTTAGCCAGATTATTAGATGTACTCACAGTCTCTGTTTCTGTTTTTTTGTCACACTGGTCACAGTACAACCAGTTGTCTTCATCTAGCTGTGAGGGTTTGAAAAAAGCCTCCAGTCCCTCCTTCTGGAATTGGAAAAAAAAACATTTACAGCAACTGTATGTGTATGTTAGTAAGATATATCAGGTCTTTTTTCTTATCCCGCTAATCAGAGAAACCACAACTAAGCCTTCTTACCACATTGTATACTTCATCGTGTCCAGAGTCTATGGCAAGAGGGATAGTGATGAAGGGACACTTCTCTTCATATATATGTTCTTCTGGACATTTACTGTTGTTACTCATTTTTCCTTCAAAGACCTGGAAACATGCAGATGTGTGAAGTCAAGAGTGCATTAAGGGGTTCCTTCCAAACCACACTATATATTTTTTTTTGTAATATATTTTGCGAGAGTGAGCTTTAAACATACACGAAATATCAGAGCCATATTATGAATTATATCAGCAGCATAAAAATATATGTATTCTTTCAAAAGCTTGTTACTTTTAAAATTGTTACAAGCGTATAAACATTTTGGAATGAAAACCTTCATGAATGAGTCTGAAAGGATGTGTAGCTGTCAAGAAGCTCTTACTGAAAAAAGAAATAGATCAAAAAGAAAAAAAGGCAAATAAAACAGAAGCTGCTGGTGTTCTCAGAGCAATGGACTGACCACCCCAGACCTCAACATCACTGAATGTGTTTGGATTGCTTGGGTCGTGAGAAGCAGATAATGCAACCAACCTCTACGCCTGAACTTTTGAGGTGTGGAAAAAAATCCTGCAGATTTCTTTTTAAAACTGAAGGCAAGTCTCCCATGAAAAAATTAAATTTGTGATAAAGGCAAAAGCTGAACACAAATACTGAAAAGTTTATGTTATATTTAGGTGTTAAGCCTTCTGTGTAATTTTCTGTTAAATATGTTTTCTGCTTTTTCCTGACTCTGAAAAATTAACAACTTAAATTAAATAAATGAAGAGTGCTCTCTGACCTTTACAGTTGGTTCTTTGGGTTGTACATAGAGAATTTTAGGATAGGAAGCCACCTACCTGGGACACTTGTAGCCCAATTGATTTTAGGATTTTCTGATAGTATTCCACTGCATCCTGCTGTTCATGAACTAAAAATAAAAAGGACAATATAAATAACACAGACAACAAGCATGTGACTAAAACACTGAAAATAACTCACCATTCATGATGCTCAGACTTTTAGTTATTCCTTTAGTGGTGGCATTGACCTTGTTTAGCTCTTCAAAGAGTTTTTGCAGCTGTAACAACAGATCAGCATTTCTCTGGCTGGAGTGCTGTGGACCTGGTTTAAAGCTAATATGCAGTTATTAAGAGTAGAAAATGATATGGTCACCATATTTGCCAACATCAAATTATGATCTAAAACAGTAACATTAAAATAAAATAAAAAAAAAAAAGGTAAAACGTATAAACATGCTTAAGTCATTCTAAATGTTGCGATTTTAATATATTCCTTAGGTCAAAGTAATAAAATAATGGCAGTTTTGTTGATATCAAAAAAAGAAAAAAAGAAAAAGAAAAGAATAAAAATGTAATTTTATTTAAAATGATATTTAAAAAGGGGTTATGGATAACCAGGGTCGTTTCTGTGTGCAGTCTGCATGTTCTCCCCGTGTCTGCGTGGGTTTCCTCCGGGTACTCCGGTTTCCTCCCACAGTCCAAAAGCATGCAGTCAGGCCAATTGGACGTGCTAAATTGCCCCTAGGTGTGAGTGAGTGTGTGAATGTGTATGTCTGTCTGTCTGCCCTGCGATGGACTGGCGACCTGTCCAGGGTGTATCCTGCCTTCCGCCCAATGACAGCTGGGATAGGCTCCAGCACCCCACCGTGACCCAGAAGTATAAGCGGTTTAGATGATGGTTGGATGGATGGGTTATGGATATAATTTAAGATACAAATAGAGTCAAAATGAGTGGAGATACCTCTGTACTGCTGTTCTGAAGTCTTCGGTCATGTAGAGACACTGCAGCACTGTGTTCAGGTAGCAAGTTGACCCCTGATTTATCAAACCATTGTACTGCTTTGCACCATGGCTAAAAGAAAGCGTGAAAAATCTTAATTAAGCTGTAATATGGTCTTATTTTGGTTTGGGTGTCCTAAAATGGGACAGGATTTGAGGGGAAAAAACAGCTGATAGTCTGTCACAACTAAAAAGTTGGACGTTCTTGATTGAATGAGCTTCGCTAGTGGGCGTCCTTTCACTCACTGAATAAGAGACTAAAGGCAAAAAGTTCTCAGAGCAATCAGGAAATGGGCTGTTGAGTGAGGGGACATCTGTGGATAACAGGATTCAGGTACATACATGACTTATACCATGCAAGCACGTGCTAAACACGATGGTATGTCCAATTACTTTTGGTTCATTTAGCTGTATGAACAGGATTGAGATAAGGGTCACCCTGCACAAATGAAAAACGCCCTAAATGAAACATTCTCCAGTTTAGCTTCGTAGACAAGTTGCATTTCAAATCAATTCTCAATCGACCAGAAGCGACTACAGGCTGCAGTGTAGGCTACATTACACTCTTACCTCGCTTGTGCATCTCTGTTTACTGCAGAGTATCGGAAAGTCGACATAATCCAGCCGCGTATTTATCTGTCACACTCGAACACTGTGACTACAGTGACCCCTCACTGACTTCAGTGCCCCAGTCTTCAGTTTTACGTAAAGAAGTTGAGCGGACTGTGATCGCGGGTAATAGATTAGTTTTAGTTTCACTTAAAGTTAAACTCGCTACAAACAGTCCGACTACTACTTTCACTTCAGTGTCCTCTCAGTTTCTCTCTGCAGTCTCTCCTGCGCTCTCCTCTGTGGAGAGAAGAGGGTCCAAACAAATGGCTGAACTTGGTGTCTGTAACCTACGCTCTTCATTTCAAAATGTCAAATAAAACACGAGAAACCAGCCCGTTTCATTTAGTTCAAAATCATTTTGCCAGCATGTGAAGGCTGTACTTCGTACAACCATATGCGGATCAGATTGCATGTAAATGTATGTATTCCACTTTATTAATAATTAATAAAATAATTTACTTTGCTAATGGTTTATTTATGACTTCTTCTCGAGGGGTGCAGCGGGTCGACAGTGATGGGAGAACTATACCCTGAAGAATTTTACACTCATTATTATTATTATTATTATTATTATTATTATGCAATTTCTAATTGCAAAAAAACACAAAAATCAGATGACAGAAGAAATAACGACCAAAAATGAATACACCTCAAGTGTGTGATGACAAAATAAGTATATAAATCAGTCAATGTACGTTTTTAGATTTCATACAAAAACGTCAAAAATGGAGCAAAATATCCAGGTTTCGCAGGTTTCTTCTCATAGCAGTTTTTTATATACCGTCATCTTTTACAAAATAACAATACAGGGCTTTCACTCAGAATCTTACCCTTACAATCATATGCGAAAGTTTGGGCACTCCTTGGGAAAAATATCATTAGAGAATATTTTAGATATCAATTCGAAAATCAATCATCCCAAATACAAAATACAACTTAATTCAGATTGTAGTCAAATTTCACAGATGACGTTGCTACGGGAATACAACAAGGTGACAGGGAGGACATAAGACCCCGGAGTGTCTTTGGAGGCCCACCCAGTCCCACCTTCTGACAATAAACTGTACCTGAATAATAACGTTAATGAACTCGTGCGCGTGTTCATACAGCGGCTGATTGGCTGAATCTTTGGTTGGATTAATTAAGAGTGGGCATTGGGTGGATTATGTGAGAGTGGGCACTGAATGCAAAGAAACTTTCAATCCATGCAATATTTGTGTTTGTGAGCAGAAAACAAGGCGTTTTATTATGTTTTGAATTTGGTGACGTGAATTTTTGTGTTTTTCCTGTAATTGTGCCAGAAGGAGACAAAAACGAATTAAGGCCTGGAGAAGAGGCCTCGATTTTTGGGGGTTTTGTAATTGACCCAGATCTGATAACTGTGTGGGCGTGGCTAATGAACAGCTTGATTGACAGCTCTCAGTCCAACACTCCTAGCCTGCTCAGCTACTCATAGAGAACTAAATTTTTATCCCGCTTATATGTGATGGTAACTGGACGAAAAAAAGGTCACGGACAAAGCAATGCACAGCGGACAGACGAATGGACAACAGACAGACATGAATGGGCGACAGACAGGGAGCCTAACTACTAGCTTTTAGTTATGCTGGGTTAGCTTTAGCTCGCTAAGTTTATCTGACTCTGAAGCTGTTTTGTGTGGGCGGGACAAGAGACTGCAGCCTTCTGATTGGTCAGAGGGATGCTAACCCAAGATTAGGACCGCCCAGTTTGCATCCAGAGGAGAGAAATATGGTGAAATCATAATGTCATTTATGAGTATACGCAGTACATTTTTACCGTTTGTCTGCAAGAACAAGATTAACCTAATTATAAAGAAAACACAGATTTACGTTCCCTGGGTCTTTAAAACACTCTCATACTAGCTGACTGCCATTGATTATCACATTAGAGTTTCAGTAAACAATATATGGGAACAAAATAGATGGTTTGTAATGAAATAATACCACACCAAATGAGACTTCCTTTATTTGAAGAACAAAAACTATTTATTATTTTTTTATTGTGAAGCTTAAACAGTTTGTGATAAGCTGTAAACTGCATGAATATGATTTATTGCCCTTTCTTGTACAACGAGATTCCTTCCAGTAAATGGGTGGCAAAATTTCCCTGAAAGGCCATTCAGCATTTGTACAAGCATGTGACTGACTTGTTGTGCAGAAGGATGGCATAATGTAGATACAATCTCACCTATGGCAGTGAACAGCAGAGATATTCAACCCAGCACTTTGACTCCAATTTCTGGTCCAGGATTTTGTAATCACTGGTGTTTTACTTTATCAGTTACATCAACAGTGATTACAGTAATTACAAAATCAAGGACTGGGAGTCAAAGTCTGCAGCTGAATACCTCTGAAGTAAAGGTTACAATTTTCCTTCAACTCTGTCTTCAGAAAGCTCTCACCAATATAAACAGCAAATATAGATGTTGACGTTTCAAGTGATAATAGAAATACTTTTGAAAACCAAAACAACATGTTCTAAAAATGGACAGGAATAGGTGGACACTTAACACAATAGTTGCTAAAGATAACAAAACACCAAACAAAAAGGTCGCAAGGTTCAGCATTATCATATGTTTAAAGCTACATACAGCTTTATCAGCAATCTGCTCTGATGCATAGTGAAAAGAGATCAGAGGCAATGAAACTTTTTAGCTGTAACTTAATGCCAAGCAAGCACACACACACACACACACACACACACACACACACACACACACACACACACACACTCCCAGAGGATGAGCACAGTGTTTAAAAATAAACACACACAAACAAACAGGCTACTCGTGTAGCCACATTAAGAATTTGTCTAAAATATGAATAACTAGCGAAGTTAAAACACATTACTGTGTAATTTATTTGCAAATAATACATGTAAAATGCATTTACTCGATATTTAATTTAAAGAAGGAGAAAAAGAAAAGAGAAAAGGAAAGGAAAGCCCAGAGAAAAAGTCCAGAGAGCTGGAGACTCTTTATTTATCCCATTGGCCTCAGAGTGCAGCTCCTCCAGGCAGGCGAACAATCAGCACTATCGTAGAGCGGTCCTGGATCTGGTACTTGGAGAAAGTTTCATCGTCCTCAAGCTGCACATCCGTGTACATCATTTTGAAGTTCTGCCCTGAAAATAAACACGGAAAACGCATATTTTATGACTATGGACAGGGATAGCCTACGTGTAAAATGGAAATCTACACATTTCACAGTTTACATGGTCGACATTTCATTACCTTTGAGTTCCGGAATTTTCTCCACGATTTTCTCTTTGAAAGTTGCAACAGTCGTGTTGTTAAAAGCCTGTTCAGAGTTTGCAACGTCGATCGTTTTCTTCTCTCCCTTAATACCAAGAACTAGGACTTGAAAAACTTTCCCCATGCTGACCAAGAGCGCCTAGGAACAGCAGCAACCTGAATGTTGTGAAGTTTCACTTTCTCTTTATCTAAACTCCCCCTGCTGAAGGTTCACGCCCTTTCTCACGACATTAGGTTTCAGTCAAAACACACTGCATTAGTGTCCTGTGTGAATTTTAATTTCTCACAGCTCGAACCTGCAAAACACAGAATAAGCTCGTTCACTGTTAGAAATACAGGTACTATGGAACATTTTTCATTCACCAAGGTACAAACAGTGTAATTATACCCTCAGATATACAACAGTGGTTTTAAGGTCCAGCTGTGTACTGTAAATAAGGTTTTCCTAGTGAAAAGTACGTATTTGTACCTTTTCATAACCTAATGTTTTAAAACAGAACAATAAAATTAAAAGCCTGGAGACGAGACGGGGTGTGTGGAGTCAGTACAACTAAGAAAATATAATTTCAATGGATTATGGTACAAATATGCTCCCCGACTAAAGGTACTGAAATGTACCCTTGAGGGGACACCCCAGTGACAAGAGGGGTCCTGCCCCGGTGACAGTTTCATACCTTTGTTTCTGAGAGTGCATTGTAGATGTTGACCATTATGTTACTGTCCACCTTTTCTTCAGAAGCAAAATTCATCCAGTGGCACAAACAGATTTATTTTTTTCTTTATTATAAATCCTTCACTGCAGTCCTTCATTAGCTGACTATGATTAACATCAGCAACCCCAAAGTAAAAGTGCTCATCACAATGGCTGTCAGTGAAGAACATGTGAACAAATGAACGTTTGCTATGGAAAAATTTAAAGTGTTAGTTTTGTGTTACGACCCAGAAAAGTTTCAGACTATCAGCGGTTCTGTTTTATTATACATGTTTAATAACTCGTACTTCATTCATTTGCCTTCCTTCTAAGACGAGCTTGGAGAGTAAACAGTGGTCAGAATTCCCCTTGCAGTTTGTTTTTATTTCTCAAAAGACACGTGATTTCTCAAACAGAAACTATAAGGTCTCGTGCAGCAGCACAACATCCACTGACACAGAAGATCCTCGTCTAACAATGACGGAGCACGAAAAGCGCTACGATCCCAGAGACACGACCCTCAAATTTGTTCCGCGGCGGGATGAAATCAGTAAGTACAACATATTCCACCTACGTTCTCGGTCTTTTCAGAGGTGTATTTTGATTAACTGCAAGTGATATAGGTTTTCAGTTATTACAAACAGCGATACACGAGCTGAGCATTTAACAGCGACGCGGCTTTGCGGTGCGCTGGAGGAAACTGTAGTGTTGCACTGCAGACTTTGCCTAAACTGAAGTCTGTTCCATTTGTCATTGTAAGTGAAAAAAGGAAAGAAAGCTCTTTGTTTTCTCAAGCTGAATTTATTTCAATTAAAGATTAGATTATTTCCCATATGTTCATTGTGGCCAAACACTAAAACCTTACAGTTGTATACAAAAGTTTGTGATTTTCTAAGTGAAAATAAGTTTCACAATCCCCATTACACACACTTCTGCACATTTTAATACACATTTACTGTCTATTTGCTGACTTTAACATATTGGAAAAAAGTAAAGGTGGCCTATGCAAAACTTATGGCACATTTTATATTGAATATGTTAAGTTCAGGTAATAATTAGAAATTGTGCACTACTATTTTGCAGACAATGCCATTTTTAGGTGTGTGTTCTGAAAAGGATGTGTAAACATATTTTCACTCAGAAAAAAAACTTTTGCACACGACTGTATGTGTGTGTGTTTGGATTGTTAATGTAATCTCCTTATCTATGCTCTCAGCCCTTGATGATGACCCGAACGTCCTCAGAGCAGAGATGTCCTGTGGCCATGCTGTCACACCACAGTCCCTCACGGCATGGTGTCGCAGTCTGCTGGACCAGGTCAACTACTTAATCAGTTATTACATCAGATAGATAGATAGATAGATAGATAGATAGATAGATAGATAGATAGATAGATACATATACCAGTCTTAAAGATAATGTTTAAATAGTCTGTTTAATTCTAAGGGATAAAGACAGAATGAAAAATAGTAGTGTAAAATGAATTGTGACTGTTTTTCATACATAAAACCACACTAACATCATAAGTGGACAACAGAGAAAAAAATAAAATACAAGGAAATTGTAAGATATAAGACGTTTAAATGGCATGTAAACTGGTGTCCATGTATTATTGTATCTCTAAAATGAGAATGAATTCATCTGTAATTAGCAAACAAAATAATCATCTGCTGCCTATATAATCAGTGTTATTTTGATGTGTATAGGGCCAGTACAAGTTCAAGTGTCCAGCATTAAGAGATGGAACAACTGAGAAGTGTGGAGCTGAGTGGCCGTATGTGGAAGTGCGGAGGATGGCTTTACTGACTCAAGAGGAGCAGAGTCACTTTGAGGAAACCATGGCTGTCTTGGCAGCTGCTGAGTACTGTGAATACAACTCAGTGAGTCCACATTTAGTCCATATTATCAGTATTTGAAACTGTGCAGACATGTTGATATTCATATAATCACTGTGATTCTTTACATATCTGTCTTTTTTATCAAGTGTCCTGGTTGTAAGTCGTTTGTTGAGAGGGAGGACCTGACCAATCTCTGCGTACACTGCATCATCTGTACAGCAGAGACTGGTAAGAACTATCAGTTCTGCTGGCAGTGTCTGAAGGAGTGGAAAGGACCTGGCCCTCGCTCAGACCGGTGTGACAACAGTGGCTGCAAAAACGTACTCCTTGAGAACCTGCAGAAATGCCATGTTATAACCCTCCCTGAGGCTCAAAATCTAAGCGTTCCCTCTCTGCGGGCTTGTCCGACCTGTGGTAACGTGGTGGAGCATGACAAAACAGGGTGCAAGAATATCATATGTAATCGCTGTCAGATTGAATTCTGCTTTTCTTGCTTACAGCTCACCCCTGTTTGCCTTAAAACAAGCTCTTACTTTATTCCCTGCTCACGTGGTGTGGCCCCTCGGCAAACTACCATTCCCTCCTGGATTAAGTAGGGTACTGAAATGTTGATATACTGGTAATACAAAAAAAAACTTTGAAGAATGCTGTAGTTAGTATCTGTGGGCTTGACTGAGTTACCTTGGTTTAATGTAAAGCATTAAGTAAATTCAATATGACTAAATAAAGGACTACTGTCCTGAGAACTGTTCTCTGGCTGATTATTATCTACACTCAAGCACTCAAACATTAGGACATCTGCAACTTTGGTTTATTGGAACCTACGTACAGTAAACATAATGGGAGATCCAGAAAAGAAAATGAAAGTAGACTTAATTAGAAACTAGGAACTATACACGATACAAAAACAAGTACAAGGAAAGAACATGCAGCCTGATACTACATAAACAAACAGCAGAGCTTATGAAGTAATATTCACTCACTGGCTACTGCCTTGTACACTAACTGTCCATTTTATCAGGTCTACTTGCCATATACAGTTGCAAGCAAACGTTTGAATACCCCTAGTACAATTACATTTTGTTGATTTTCTACACAAAAACAATTTAACACCCTCTATAAAGAACTGAAGGGATATAGATTATTTCCTGTAGTCAAATTTGCATCTTTTTAATATAATTAGATATTTTATTAAGAATATTTCTTACACCTAGGAATATAGTTTTTATAGGCTTTTGTTTCTCTGTGATGCTTGTTAAATGTTCCTTGAGAAAGTTATTGTGACATGAAATAAGGACGAGAGGTTCATTATCGCCAAAAAAGGTGACCATCTGGGAACCTGCATGGTTTAGGGTCAGACTGAGAGCGACTCTTAGACATGCGCACGAGGGACACTCTCTTTGTTGACTAAACCATAACCAGTGACACTATGTTCAATTCTTCTTCTGAACTAGTCCATGTCTGCATTAAAACAGTTTTGATTTGTAATGATGAATTATCAATTGTCAGGTCCATAAGTATTTGGACAGTGACAACATTTTCGTAATTTTGCCTCCTCTGTACACCACCACAATGGATGAAGCAATCAAGATATGATTGAAGTGTAGATTTTCAGCTTTACTTCAAACTATTGCATTAACTGTTTAGGAATTACAGACATTTTTACATAGTCCCTCCATTTTTGCAGGCATAAAAGTAATTGGATAGTTAAGCAGTTTCATGGCCAGGTGTGGCCTGTTCCATCATTATTTCATGTCAAATTAAGGAGATAAAAGGTCTGGAGTTGATTCCAAGTTGTATTTGGTAGCTGTTCATGGGAAATCTCAATATGTGGTCCAAAGAGATGTTAATGCAAGTGAAGGGGTCATGATCAGGCTGAAAAAACAAAACAAACCTATCATTGTTTGCAATGATAGCAGAAAGTTTAAGAGTGGCTCAACAATTTAGTACGGTCTTAAAAAGAAGAAATGCACTGTTGAGCTCAGCAACACCAAAAGGCATGGAAGATCCTGGAAGACAAAAGTTGATGATCGCAGAATTGTTTCAGTGGTGAAGAAAAAATCTAGTCTAGTCATGGACATTCTAGAGGAGGTTGGTGTATCATTGCCAAAGTCTACAATTAAGATGAGAGGAAACTCAGTATAAAGGGAGGTGACTCCCATGAGTTTCAGATTTCAGGCAGTCATTGTTTGCAAAAGATTTGCATATTAAAAATAATTATTGTATTTATAAATATGTGAGTTTATCCAATTACTTTTGAGCCTATAAAATGGATGGACTATGTAAAAAATGTAATTTCTAAATGATTAATGCAATATTTTTAAAGAACCCCTTGAAAGCTAAAACTCTACACTGAAATCACATCTTGTTGTTTTTTGGGGTTGATTATATCACAAAAGTTATGAAAGGGTGTGTTTCATACATTTCTGTATTTTTATCTTAGTCGTGTTTGGTAAATTACCCAACAGCTTTTGGTTTCTACCTGGCTCTAAAGCCTGGTTTAAAAGAACAATCAATTCCAGGACCTGTGTTTCCATGATCAATTGACCATCTTTATAAGGTAGGCCTGGTTTAATTTGCTGTAATAGCATGAAATGAGCTGGCATCTGAAGGGGATGAGCAAGGTTAATGTTTTTGGTATCCTCAATTGACAGGGGCAACACCTTGTGAATTTCCTCCCTCCTAGTGTTTAAAGTGGTGTACCACTGCAGCTGGTTAGCAATAAGTTAATAATCATAAAACAGAAAGTTAGGGAAAGTGTAATATATTGGGCCCAGGGGAAAGACAATCAGTATAAAATTGATATTGGCTTTCTTATACCTCTGTTGTGTTGTTCACATTGAAGACCACATTTTTAGAGGTTAAAGTTGGTTAAGAGCATAAAATTTTTTTCAGCACTACAGGAACATTTCTTTTGTTTATTAGTGTGTGTGTGTGTGTGTGTGTGTGTGTGAGAAAGAGAGTGTGTAAGTGGGTCTGTTATCTCTTCTAAAGCTATGTGTGTGTGAGTACATGAGAAATCTGTGGGCTGGCGTGTGTGTGTACATAGCTACTCAAAAGTTCGGAATCACTTTCCATCTGAAAGGTCAGTTTTGCTGAAGATTTATTCATAAACTGACCTTAATGTGACACTGCTAATGTGCAATTTCATAGGTCTCATAATTGAGAAATCTGTAGAATTTTGAGAAAGACACTATTGTGTAAAATTAATATGAAGAATGTGTTGTGTTTGATAAGTCATGATTAAGTCTGTATTATTTCCATCTGCATCATGAAAGTTGTTCTTGAGTAAAATAACTAGAGTCTGAAAAGTGATTCCAGGCTAAACAATAGTCTATGTGTTTCCCTCTAATTGAACATGTTTATATTCCCAAGGGAATGTGTGTGTCGCAACAGTCAGCAATAGGCCTGATTATGAGACCTTGAGTCTTGAGAAAGACATGACACTCTCTCAACCTTTTTACCGGCCCATTCACTTCACCGGTGTGTGTTTCCATCCCTCGCTGACCTCGAGTGATTACCAATATGAACAATTTGTCAGTACTACTGTGTTTATAGTGTTCTTTGACTTTGTCAGCCTCTGTGCATTTGAGTTAGATCCTTTCCAACATGTTTATGCTCAAAGTGAAATTATGAGCTGTTAACATGTTAAGTTTTTGTTTTGTGTTTTCCAATTCACTTTCTCACTGTTCAGAGTATGTTTTCATGATATTATTATTTACCAGTATCACAGAAACTGGTATTTATTTCTATTCTTGATTTTTTTTTCGCCAAACTAATCCTGAGGACAAGTATATAGAGGGTTTAAAATGTCAAATTTATTTTTTTAAGAGTGGAGTCTGTAAGCAGGGAATGATTAGATGGAGTCAGTAAGTAGGAAACTCTTTGGGGATTCAGTAAAGTAAGGGCAAAAAGCAGGTGTTGTAAGGAATAGGATTGTGAAGTGTTAAAAATGTAATCAATCAACCTTTAGTTAAACTCAAGTTACATTAAGGGAAACCCTCATTTACAATGTAGCTGAGCCATTACAGAAAACAGGGATTGAAAAATTTGATTGTAAAAAATACCAAATGCTAAAAAATATATATTATTAATTATAATTTTAATAGTAAACAAAAAACAATAAACCATTGAAATAGCAACAAATAAAATATCAAATGAGTATAAAATAAATTAAAAAAACATAAGGAATAATAATGAAATGAAGGAATAGAAGATGTAAAACAATAACCTGGCAATAATAAAATGAATTGAAAGAATAATAAAATTAAAACATTAGCTAAAACATACCAAAATTATATTAAAAGTTAAAGTAAAACAGTTGCAGGCTGAGTGGAAGTGGTTGGAGACTAAAAGTTAAAAATGTTCATGTGACACCAGAGAGCAAAACTTTAGTCACTTTAGAGGCACCAACATATCCAGGGACCTGAAATGGGAGAACACAGTCTCCATAGTGAAGAAAATACAACAGAGAATGTGCTTCCAGAGACAGCTGAAGAAATTCAACCTGCCGCACAGTCTGATGATCCTGTTCTACACAGCTATCAACTTCACATCATCTATAACCATCTGGTTTGGTTCCTCTCACAAGAATGAGCCAAACTCCAGCACGTCATGAGGACAGCAGAGAGGATCACTGGATGTAGCCTGCTAATGCTTCAGGACATCTACAGCAGCAGGGTGACAAAGCATGCCGGGAAAAATAACAGCTGACCCCTCTCATCCTGGATATCAACACTTCCAGGCACTTCCCTTCCAGGCCATCAAAACCAGCACAACCAGACATGCTAACAGCTTTTTCCCTGGAGCTGTAGCGCTCATTAACCACAGTGGACACCTTGCACTTGAAACTTGAAAGCCCCTACTGTTTTACAGGAACTCCTCTGTAGCATAATGCTTTGCACAACTGTACAGATGTTACATTTTTGCACATATGCTTCTGTAATATTCTTTATATAATAGTTTTTATAGTATATGTCTACTCAGACCTGCATATGTACAGATAATCTTGTCTGCATATGTCCAGATGTTCACACAAATCGTTTAACTCCTCTCCGTGGCTCTTTATTATTCTTTATTCTATTTAATGCATTTTTATTTTATTTTTTTAAGTTAATTTTTCTTAGTTAAATACTTGTTTCTGTGATTGTCTGGTCTTCATGTTATATGGCATGTTATATGTCATACTTGTGTGTACTCACTAAGACAAATGCCTTATATGTGTGTCACTTAATAAATAAAGTGATTCTGATTGTGATTCTAAATATTCCTATGCAGCTTGATTCTCTCTGAATAAACTAGTGCATTTCAGTACTGTTTCTACCATATGATGTTGATTTACTGCATGTGAGATCAGTATGACTGGTTAGACTAAACTGGTCCAGGTTAACAGCTATTTAGTTAAAATAAAAGGAAGTAGATTACCAGCATTTTGTGCACACTTGGTAGTTCTGAGGTTCATCTGTGAACCGAAACAGGGAAGTTCAACTAAATGATGGCATGACTGGCAGGATCTGTTGTGAAAGCATGACTGTATTATAGTACACTGTGAGAAATGAATCAGTTCAAATCAAGTTTATGTCTGTCAGAAGCATAAGAGCAAAAAGTAAACCTGTGGTTAATATTATAGAGTGGAGTTCACTGACATAAGATATAAAAATTGGTGTCTTTGTCATGATTAGGCTATGGGACCCAACTAATCTCTTTCAGATATTGCTGTTAGTACAGACTGGGAGCCTCCATTATAGAGTTGCTGTTGCAGCTCTGGGACCAGGGGCAAAGTCTCCAGAGACAATAACCTAATCCACAATTGTGCAATCTTGGTCCTGCAGGCCCCCAGCCCTGCACATTTTAGTGTTCTCCTTCTCTAACACATCCTCTTCAATGGGCTCGTTAATTAGCTAATAAGTCATCAGGTGTGTCAGAGCATGAAGAACACAAATATTTGCAGGACAGGGGGCCTCCAGGACCAGGGTTGAGAACCACTGACCTACTGTGTTGAGTTCCACTTGTAAGAACTACTCAAACTCATTCTTATTATGTCTAAAACTCTTCTCCTGGATTTTCTCAGTGTCATCCAGCACTTACCTAGGCTTCCACCCATCCAACTGTCCAAAGGGAGGAAAAACCCTGGGGGCCTGGGCAACCACCTATAACAGAAGACTTGAATTATTTATCCCACAATTATAAATAATTTAAGAATCATATTCTCTAAAATCCCACAGTAACTGTATAGTTTAGTGCAAAGTATTGTGCCTCCCCTTAAAATAAGTGATTACCTACACAAAACATTTTAGCTATGCTCTTTCCAAAGAGGCATCATTTCAGGGTACTGCACTGTCCAGTACAAACCAATGACTGTACAAACCTGACATGCTGGCTAATCTAATAGATTGATGAAATCCATAGGCCTTCCAGGTCTCTCAAAGGGGATCTCAGGAACAGGGTCAAATGCATCTTTGGGATGGCTGTTGAGTTCACTGACTGATATTCATAGGACAATGTGTATTGATCAGTGGTGGACAGTAATGTTGTAAATGTAATTCGTTACTGTACTTAAGCAGTTTTATCGTGTATCTGTACTTTACTGAAGTATTTCCATTTTGGGTGACTTTTTACTTTCACTCCACTACATTTCAAAGTCAAATATCTTACTTTTTACTCCACTACATGATGCGAAATCTGTTGTTCCTTTTGGTTTATGTGTCTATAAAAACATAACATGTCAAAACGAAAGAAGCGTGAAGCAAGAACATCAATCAGGGCACAGCTCACACTTTGTTTTGACCTGTTGGACATACTGACCCAGTGCAAGCATACGGTTCAATGCAGCAGCGTAAAACTTTGGGAGTGTCTATTCCAACATAAATGATGGAAGAAACTCCTGACTCTGACCAAACTTTGTGTAAACAGACCACAATATAGAAATATGTACATATATGCAGTTGGGACTGGCATGTTTCTTTTTTCTGTATTTATACGAACACTATTTCATTTTATAGTAAATTCATTTTAGCTAGTTTATGTTTATGTTTACAGAAACCTACAGACACAATATAGTAAAGGAAAACTCATTTGTGAACCTGTGTTTAACGCATGTTTTTATTAAACTTAAACTTGTTTAAATAATTTGAAATGATTTTTGTTTAAACCAAGTTGCAAATAATCTTGAACCAAAACTTTGCTTGTCCACAAAAGGTTATTTCAGAGCCACTTGGTTCTGCCGAATGGAAATTGTTTGCCTTCAGTGTTTTGTGCTTATGATAATTTTAATAGATATCAGTGTCAGACTAATTAATGACATTAATGACATCACCTAAAATGAGTTAATGAAGCAAGAGTCTTGTTATGAAAGTAAAAAAAAAATTGGACAGTCTAATTAATCTTTCAGTACTTTTACTTTCGATACTTAAGTACATTTGAAGGCAAATACTTTTGTACTTTTACTCAAGTGGAGATCTAAAAAGAGGACCTCTACTTTTACTGGAGTTATATTTTACCTTGGGTATCTCTAATTTAACTCAAGTACATGATTTGTGTACTTCGTCCACCACTGGCATTGATGCGGAAGTGTAAGAGTCTTCTTGGCTATTTGACTGGGCGAGTAAATGTAATCAGGACAATGATTCAGCTTAGGCTATGTTCGGGGCGTCATGCAGTTCAAAATTCTGGATCACGGGGGTCCTTCCCCAGAAAAAACAAACAAACACAAAGAAAATAATGACAATTTCCTGCAATTTGACAAATGTATTTAACACCTTTGGGGTCTTATACTTAAACTTCAATAAATCAGTTTTTGTACTTCAGTAATCACCCACTTTATTTTAAGGTAAAACTGTATATTTATTTAGAGCTTTTCATGTTATTTATTTATGCTGTTATGGTTAATTAAAATGACACTCACTTCTTAAGGGACATTTACAATGAGGAAGTGCACAGGCAGTTAAGAACAAAGAACAGTTGTGCAGATTCAGGCAATGGCACTGCTTATTCGTTTCACTTTCTGTTAATCTTATGTGAAACTGTGTTTTGCTTTTCCATGTATATTGTTCTAACTAAATTAAAGTACTGCAACAAATTACCTTGATCTTAGATGCAGTATTAGTTTCTGGTAAAGGTGTCAGCAGGATAATACTTTTTGACAGCTTTTTAAGTTGTCCATTTAACAAGGATGGTTCACTGAGAACATTTTGAACAACCTGTGTAATGCAGCACAGCTAGACAGACTGGTTTTAAAGAGCTGTAACAGGTAGTGAGCTGAGGAGAAAACAAATTAAACTGGGTCGCTCTAACGCACTTGGGAACACCTCCATATTCTAGTCCCTGTCTTTGCTACGTGGAAATGCTGCACATCACAAGAGCCATAACTCATACTAAGTACTTTTCCCTCTTAGCAATCACTTTGCAGCCCATCATACACCAAGAACTGTACTGATATATTTAACACTTCTCTAAATAAAGGAAATGGCTCCACTGGTTCAAATGCAAAAAGTCAAGGAAACCAGCAGTTAGAAATACAAAGGGAAAATGTATACAGACTTCAGCAACAGGAACTCCCACCCTTTCTACTTTTTCTTTCTTATACCTACAGTGGCTGCAGAACTGGGAAGAATTTAATACCACCTGCATGTATTATTTTATATGAAAAAAGCTTTCATACACTTTAATGTACCTCACCCACTGTAGATGTGAGCCCGTCTTGGCCTCATTCTGTCTGAAGACGGAAAATAAGTATGATATGAAAACTCAACTCAGAATCTTTCCAAAAGCCCAGGGTGGACACTTGCTCCTGCATCTTGGGGGAAAAGGGGATTCTCCTCAAGAAGATGTAACTATGAGTTGTTTGTCCATGGGAAGAGCAAGTGAGACTTGCCAAAGATTCCATTAACAGTAAGGACCATCTTGAATCATGTTTACTCCGTGTAGGATGTGTGAAACAGATCGGTCCAGGATTTACTGAACCTGCTGTTGCCCCTTCACTGAAGGAAAGACCCAAAAGATTTATTTAGCCCTAAAGATTCATTAATGGGTTATGTTACCATGTGGAAAGCCAAGATCCATATCCACTCATTTGCTCGTCAGTCTTTAGATGAGACACTCTATGCATACTTCTGTCCTTGCAATGAAGTAACTAAAAACTGGCTTCATTTATACTGAGACATGCCTTTAAGCTAATTTGTGCACTAAAATTTCTAGATATGTACAGGGCGTGAACAGAACAGAACTGTGTTGCCACATATTATCAAGTACCTACTAAGGATGAGGGACCCTTTCATTTTAAAACAGTTTCAGTCCTTCTTGGAATGCATTTTTACAAGTCCTTCATTAATCAAAAAACCTTTAGTCCTTTTAAAGATGAAAGAGGTGGAAAACCACACTATATTCACATGTATTAGATACATAAAGTGACAAACTGCTGTTGTTAGTATTTTAGAAGTATATATATGGATGATTTTGAAATATGGGGATATCACAAGGTGTCAGTGCCTGACATTACAAAACATTGTAATACTCCTTGGTAGTTACCTGACTTTGTATTACAAAAAAGCAAAAAAACAAAAAAAAACAAAAAAAAAAAAAAACAATGAATGCTCACAGCAGTTGTCAAATTGTCTATTGTGCAGTGTTTGGACTGAGAAATTAGTCTGACTAGCAATGAGTCAGCATCCATTTCGGTAGGTTAAGAAGGAAAAGACACTTTCATATTAATATAAATAAAATATACCATAATCATTTACAAAAATGTGTTTATTTGTTGCGTCACACATTATAATTAACATACTATTTATTTTGAAATCTGAACAGAAGTAGTTGCACACAAAACAACTATAACAAAATAACATTGGACCCATCCATGAATATTAATATAAAAAATCAAAAGAATTTAAACTGTTGATCTATTTAATCTGATACAGAAGTGTGACTGGACAATGTTTTCTCTGTTCCACACTGAGATTTCAGCTTCTCATAATATTTCTGCAAGACAAAAGGGAGGGAGGGGAAAAAGCAAGCAAACAGAATTACTTTACTTTCTCTAAAGTAATTAACGGCTACAGTGTCTAATTTTCATTAATTTATCTAATATAACTTCCATCTTCTATGTACAGAGCAGTGTATGTATGCAGAACAATAGTCAGTAATTGAGCAATGTATATAAAATGTTACTGTGTGCTGTCTAATACTGTGACCCTAATTAATCACATGACGTTCAGCAACATTACAAAAAAGGACTGTCTCAAAACAGTTATTTTATTAAAGGTATGTACATCCCTAAATGTAAAAATGCCTGAAAACAGCTGTGAGGTATACCTGCATGCTCTGGTAATGTCGTAAGCTGCTGCAATGGGTTTTCTTTGCAGTCTCCTCACTGCCATAAAACAGAGAGCAGAGCTTGCAGAAGTAGCCTGTCCTGGGAACCACAAAGTCCACACCTGTGGATCACAGAAAAATGAGGATCAAGAGAAACTCTTCTTACAGATAAGCACACACACAAACACACAACAGTATTCAAAACAACCCGCAGAGAAAAAGAGGAGGGAGGAGTAAGTTGTGTTATTTGCATGCCTTCTGTGCACCTGCTGCCTATTCCTATCCTATTCTTGACTGTGAAAACATCCCTGGTGGGATTATTCCCATTCAGTCAAGATTACTACCACAAATAAATCAATCATGAATACGATGTATTTTGATAGTGTAAATCAATGGAAAAAAATGAAAAAGCACCATGCCTTTCAGCCTTCACAGTGTAGTAATTTGTTGGCTACAGGAAACATGTCTTTTCTCATGTTTTAAACATAGCACTCTTCTTTTTTTAACAGAAAGACAAAGCACTACAAAGTGTAGGATGTCCTTGTTAAAGTTGTGGACCTTAATTCTAATTTTTATTTAAATTCATTTTTGTCCCCAAAACAAACAGGCAATACTTCTATGTAAGTGTGTAAAGTTATATGCTAGCTAGCAATTGCCAGTTTTCTCATCATCAATGATTATGTAGTAGTTAAGCCAATGAGGAGCAGGATGTCTATACTTTCAAAGAGCAAGTAAAATTGATGTGAATTTGGCAGAATTTGTCCATAACATGTTTATTAACCAAAAAATGGTGTTACTATTTTACAAATGATACAACCAAGTTATTCTAGTGGCCTGTTAGCATAGCTGGACATGGTTACTCCATTCTTTTGGTATTAAGTGCTACAAGAGAGAAACAAACTTATCTTGAGTGGCTCTCTTACCAATGGGGTTGTCTGGGCTAAAAGGGGGAAGAATAAAGTCTTCAGTTATTGAAGGTTCTGAGCAAGGCCTCTTTGATTCTGGCTCCTGGTTTAGCTCATCATCTCGCCTCTGTTTGGATTCCTCTGTAACACAGAAAGAGAAAACCAAAATAATATAGAAGATTAAATTAACAAATGTTATCAGTGGCCCAATCTGTGTATAATGTGAAAGCTTAACAGTGTTCAAAATTTCATATTCGTGTTTGTGTGAAATACTGAGGTTACAATCAACATCGTAATAATACTGACTTAAGGTAAGGAGACAGAAAAAGTGCTTCATTACTAAAATGCTAAAACTTCAACACAAAGTTTGTATCAGTCACCTTTAATTGCTGCTCTTTTCTCAGGAGAGACGGCCCTGGTGTGCTTGCTTATGACCTCTTTTTCATCAACACTGTGCTTCTCTGTCCCAGGTGTCAGAGTCTCTGAGTCTGGGGAGTCTGAAGCTACCTCTGCTTTCAGATTCTGGGATTCTGGCTTGAGGTATTCGTCCTTTGTGACCGAGGATGACAAATCAGTGACTGAGGCTGTCTCTTCCAACGAAAGCATCTCAGGTGTTTCTTCCGTCTGGTCACTAGCCTTCTCCTTTTTCTTTCGGCTGGATTTCCTTACTATAAACACAGGAGACAAAACCAGAAAGCATACTATTATAAGCATATATTGCACCCTACTGTACATCTTTTTTATGAAGTCACTGAGCTGCTTGATTTTGTAGTGACTTATTTAAGCAATGATTAAACAGATTTCACTACAAGTTACCGGGCGTCTGCCGAGCTCTCCTCTTTGGCCTTCCACCCCTCCTGGTGACAGGTACCTCATCCTCCACTTTCTCTTCTTGCTGTTCCACTTCCTCCTCCCCCACTTCATCCACAGTCACAAAGGTCATTCTGCGCAGGGCCTCTAGGTCACAGGCTTCTTCATCCAGGCCAGATGATCCTGCAGGCTCCTCTGGCACAGCTGGTGTTTCAACTTCAGAACAGGCTTGCTTGCTATTGTCCTGCTCATCCATCTCCTCATCATCACCTCTTGCCTCATCCAGTGTAACAAGGGTCTGAAGAAATGAGCAGAGAAGAGACCAGCAGAGTGAGTCATCATAGTATGTCAATCCCTCCAGAACAGGTTATGATTAATGATAGAGGGAATACACAGACAGACAGTAGGCCTGCGAGACAGGGCAATGTAACTGGATAGAGTCAATGTTTTTTTAAATATGTAAAGCACGGTGTCATAGATTTGAAAATCTCTTGCAGTCTTAAGTTTCTCCAGCAAAGGGTGCATGGTTCATGGGGTTCATGAATCCACGTTTGCGGTAACATCTACTAATACGACGTGAAGTAGTGTTCAAAAGTGGTTTGGTTAATCAGTATTATATTACTTAATATTTATTTTTACAGATTTTCATTTAAACAAAAAACATCTAAACTAAAAATAGAGGAGAAAAAAAGGACGTCTAAAAAGTTAGTCTAAACTGCAGAAGATGGCACTTATTGGTTGGGGGGGGCACATGTTCAAGAATTTTTTTTTACTAGAATATGTAATGCTACTTATCTTAACAGTCAGAGAAACACAAATATGCTGACCTCCGGGTTGAAAGAGTCCTCATCATCATCATCATCTTCCTCCTCAACAATTTCATCAAGAGTGACCAAGCCCCGAAGTTCTTTCTCTAAATGCTCTTCTTCAGCTTCTGCTTCATCACCTCTCACCTCATCAACAGTCAAAAGTGCTTCAGGGTTTTCACCAGCTTGGCGCTTTAGCAGCTCCTCCTCTTCTGCCTCATCATCAGGGAAATCCTCCTCTTCCTCACTGACCTCATCAAGGGTTACCAGAGCATCTTGGGCCGGAAGTTCAGGGATTGTGGGTACTTGATTGTTCACTCCTTCTTTTACCTCAGTATCATGGACCGCAGTCTGGTGCTTGGCATGCGACTCTTTTTCTTGTACCTCAGAAGCTGGAAGAGGTTCGTCCTTTAATACAGTAGCAGAGGAATCAAACTGGTTTGTATCAAGTAGGCAAGAGGGCCCATTTTCCGTGGTCTCTTTCTGGGTGAGAGAGGCTTCTTCAGTGCATGTAGGAACACTGCATTCTTTGTTCTCATCCTGTGACAAAGGTTCTGGTGTTGATGTTTCTGTAGGCATACACTCTGTCTTTTCTGGTTCACCAATGGCAGGTTTGATAGTTTCTGCCTCCTGTAAAATATCTGGACTAACAGTATCATCTTCAGCCCTCTGAGGTTCTTCTACTTCCAGCTTTTCGGGCTCTGGTTTATGTCTCTTTGCAGGTGTGGAGGCAGTTGTGGGGGCTTTGAGCTCATCTTGGGCAATCTCATGCTCAGGTGAGGGTTCAGTGCTAGCAGCAGTGTCCTCTCCTGGCTCATCCACAACCTCATCTACAGTTACAAACTCATCTAGGTTGAAGGGGAAAAGTTCTTCCTCTTCTTCTTCTTTTGGCTGAAACAGAACACTCAAGCAATAAGCGACAAAGTAATACTGACTAAGTAGAATGGGGATGATAGTCAGGCTTCTCAACTCACCTTTTCTGTTTTCCTTGTTTTTGAAGCAGTTCTCGAGGAACGTGTACTTCTCCTTGTGCTGCGGCTCTGTGCAGAAAAAAAGGAATGAAATCCTAACACTAGAGTGAAACATCTTAATTTGCATTTAATACAGACCAACAACAGTTTTAACAGCCAATTCCTTTTGTAGGATATCAGAAGTATTCTAGATTCCCATAGCAGACGTCTACTTACCTTGTAGCGATCCTCCTCATGGCCCCTTGAACTCTTTGAAACTGGACTGCTATTTGATCTGCTATTGCGAGACGCAGTAGAAGAACTTGAGGATCCTCCACGTCTAGTGCTGGGGGGTCCAACTTCTGGACTACTTTTCTGTTTGTGTCTAGATGAGGATCCTCTTTCTGGTGATTCATTGTCTCCAAGTTTACTTTTAGATGCAGAACTTTGGGATTTCTTTACCTTGGCAGCTTGGGTCTTCCGGCAGTCAGCATGAACAGCTTTCTTAGGCACCTGTGAAGACTCATCTGCAGCGATGTGCTTCTTCGTGCTTGAATGAGCCTTATCTGTAACTTTCTCTGGCTCAGTCTTTTGCCTGGCTTCTTCTTCAGCACGCCTCAAAGATGACTGCAAACGGCACTGATGAACTGCTGCTTCCAGAGCTTTTAAAATTTCTTGTGTAACAGGAGGAAAGTCCAGTGTCATATCATCAGAAGGAACAGGTGCTGGTTGCGTATTGTTTTTTTCAGAGAGCTGGCTTTTGTCACAAGCTTGCAAAGTGCTATCAGTTTCAACCGGTTCATCAACCTTTAAGTCATCTTGAATTTGGGCTTCATTTTCAGTCATAGTATCAGGAGGCTTTAAATCATCCTGTGTGATCTGACTACTCAGTGTGGATTCCTCTACAGGGATACTCTTAGCTTCCAAAGCTACAGATGTGGCCATAAAAATGGGCTCTTCACTGTCATTACTGCCAACAACCCCAATTTGCCCATCTGATAAGCACTCAGCAATGTTGTCCTGTTGTGGTCCACTATTTGTAACCTCATCCTGTTCTAGAGGCATGTTCTCAACACTGGTAGCAGCCTCAGCTTGTGGTAGATCCTGGCTGTCCGCGGATGCTATTTCAGCACTTTCAATTGTGTCTATGGGTGCTTTTTCATCATGCTCAGTTAAATCCATGTGTGGTTTTTCACCGTGCTCAGTTATGTCTTTGGGTACTTTTTCATCAGGCTCAGTTGTGTTCATAGGCGTTTTTTCATCATGCTCAGTTTTGTCTACAGGAGCTTTTGCACTGTGCCCAGGTGTGTCCATGGGTGCTTTTTCACTGTGCTTGATTGCATCCATGGGTGCTTTTTCACTGTGCTCAGTGGTGTCCATGGGCACTTTTTTAGTCTGCTCTGCTGTGTCCATGGGCGCTTTTTCCCTATGTTCAGTTGTGTCCATCGGCAGTTTTTCAGTCTGCTCAGTTGTGTCCATGGGCACTTTTTCCTTATGTTCAGTTGTGTCCATCGGCAGTTTTTCAGTCTGCTCAGTTGTGTCCATGGGCACTTTTTCACAGTTTTCAGTTGTGACTGTAGGCAAGTGACAAACCCCTGATTCCTGGGTCGCCAACACGGTTATTTCTTTGGTTTGAGTGGCATCAATCTTGTTTTCACCCTGGGCGATGCTTTTAATTGAAGCTGTGTCAGTAGTAAAGCTGTCTGGTTTAGAGTCACACCTTTCAAACAAAGTACTGGTGTCCAATTTAGAGTCAGTGTTTTTAAAGGGAGTTGTTACGACAGGTGGGGCATCGACTTTGGAGTCAACTTCTGAAGCATTCATAGCTTTTGCTATATCAGCAGATGCTGTTTCTGTAGTAGCACTGGTGCCCACCTCAAACTTTGCTTCATTCTGAGCTGTGTCTTCTGCTTTAGCTGTGACAACTTCAGCACAAATGGTACCTGGTGGTGAAGCTGATGTTGGAACTGAAGTAACATTAGGAGCTGGAGCTTTGGTAGGTTTAGGTTTAGCTTTAGCCCTTGGCCTAACCCCCACCTTTGGAACTGGTTTAGCCCTAACATACAAGAGGGAGAATGGAAGCAACTGAGCTCATAACATCTACGTAATATAACAAATGTACATACATAATAAACACTGGAACATATAAAAGATAAGAAAAAAAGATTTGTCACAGATAATTGGGATTAATTTCATAGTTAGTTGTTAATATAAATACTGTGTTTAACACATAACAGAACTAATACCTATAACTGCTAATTACTACATAAACTAATTACCATAAATAGGATAATTCCGATAAACAATAAGGACAGTGAGACATCTTTCCAAAGTACTTTTAAAAATTAACTTATCGATTTATGTTCTTTCTACATTAGATAATGTTAGTTTGCACAACGATAACATATACATTAGCTTCACAGTAGTTACTGAATAGTCTTAAGATTAATAACTGAATAATATTTCTACAGCTTAATTACACAACCTGCAAATTAGTTTTGTAGTAGTTACTAAATAATTTACATTAGATACTGAAGAACATGCTTTTGTAAATTAATAAAATAATAACTGCATATCTAGCCTACAGTGTTTTTTCACTTACCCTTTTGCATCAGGTTTCATTTTCATCTGTAATACAAATAAGAGAAAAGTCAAATACTTTGATATTTTCACTGATGATCCATATTTCATAAATAAGTAACCACCAGAGTTAAATGATTAGAATAATCAAATAGTACCTGGTCAGAAGCCTTGGGCATTTTGGCAAGTTTGAACGTAAGGTTTTTATTCTGTATGATACATGGAAACTTGAGGAACCGACTATAAACCGATCTAGCGATAGCTGCACTGTTCATTTCAAAAATGATCTGAAAAAGATAAGGGGAGATTGAACACACAAAACATCAGATGCGATGTTTATTTTTCACATTATAAACACAAGCACTCTGCACTTGCTTCCGACTGATTAGCAATTGTCTAGAACTGTGACACCAGACGGGCCACATATTTTGCTGTATTTCGGCTCCAAACACTCATTAACCAAGTAGTACATTCCGTACTACGCAATCCAAATATGTGAGCTTTCTAAAAACAAAATCATACAAGAATGGTTCAAATGGTGGAGAGACTGATATTTTGATGATTTTTTGTCACTGTTGTGTGTAAAAGACGTTACAGCAACAGTCAGTCTGCTTTTCATGGAAGAGTAGCTTCCCTAAGCTAGTCTGTAAGCATCCCTGAAAGATGTTTTGGGACACAAGATTTAATTTTCTTTTTTAATAAATACTGGCCTAAGTAAAAACTGATAGGGCACAACAGTCTCCTCACCCACCTCTTGTAGTTTAAAGCCCAATTTTTTGACACTTGATTACATAATCAAGAGTTGGGTTTGTTATTTCTGGATCCACAATGTGCTTTCTTTCTTTCTTTCTTTCTTTGTTTGTTAGAAAGGCTTTTCTGGTGATGAGAGTTTGCAAACTTTATGCTACTAAACCTAACACACTTCAAGACGACTGAGGACTGGTTTGATAATCACTGCTCTGGAAAAGGCCACAGTCACTGAAAGTACAAATGACATTACATACTTACCCTGCCATTGAGGGGCAGTGTCTGCCTATATGAACCAAAGCGTTTGATGAGGTTCTGAACTTCATTGATTGCTCCAGTTCCATTGGGCACATTCCCAACTGTGAGGAGACGTTCAGGAAGCACAGCAATTTCCTGGGGCTGTGTAAAAAAGATAAGCTATGTTTAAACAAAATGTCCACAATTTGCAGCACCACTTGGCACAAGTTAGTACTACTACTACTACTACTATTTTTTCTACAATTACTGTTAATACATTCATACTAAGCTTGACAACAGTTCTTCCTAAATCCTTAGCATGTCAACACAAAATGAACATCAGTTTTTGGAAACCCTTGGAACAGAGTAACTGTAGTAAGAGAAATCCAATTGCAGGTTTACTTACAGGCAATTTCTCCATTCCCATCAATACTCTGAATAATGATTCCTGGAGAAGCAAAAGGAGACGAGTTAACTAAATTACCACAGATACACAATTTTCCAATAAAAATTCTATAAGTGTTTTTTGCAGTCCACTCTGCTTCTCACACTGCACTCCACTTGCCCCTCCACAAACTCTGCCTCAATGTGACCAGTGCATGTCTTTCCTGCTCCAATTACTGTTACAGGTAATTTAGCTCACAAAACACTTGATCATTAGTTGATCATAACTTGCTCATCATCACATGACGCAGGTGTAGGGAAACTACATACTGAGTGATGTGTTGTACTGCAATTGTATGTTTGAATGGCACCGAAACACATTCCAACAGCGCTTTATTTTAACAGTATAGTAAATAACTAATAGTTGATAGGTAAATTTGTAGTAACTGCTACAGTATTTTCTTGTACATATTATGAAAGTACATGGTAACTTGCGTGATGAAAACTACCAGGTACGTACAGAAGTACTTTGCTACAATTGTATAATTGCTCAGAATATCATAGGCCAACATAGACTTTGCAAATAATAAAATAACTGGTAGCTGCTGTTTAATTACTGTGCACAACAAAAGTACTTTGTTTTATAGTCCGATTTTACCACACTGTTAAGAGTTAGTTAAGTACTGACTAATATGGCAATAGAGTACTAAAATATAAAACTTGAAACTGTGCAGTATGTCTCCAAAACTGTGCAAGAAACACTGTACTAGATGGATGCATATTTGAGAGTCAGAAGGCAATCCAGGCATGGACGTACAGTGTAATTAAGATCAATGGGCCGTGTCATCATCGTGATGTTTATCTCTTTTTCTTGCAGCTTTGCAGGAGTCTCTGCATATGTCTTCACCAGTGCCTCTGCTGCCTGTGTGTTAGGCATCTCCAGATATGCCTAGAAAAATTACTTATTCATTAGGAATCTATTTGCAGTAGTCATTTCTTGTGAGAATTCAATACTTAACATGCAAAAACAGTATTGGTTTATCCCTAGTGCTGCTCTGGTACACAATTTTTTTTGTTGGCCTGAATGTTAACTGTACCTTTTGCTGAGTGACTGCTATGACAGGTGTTGAAACAAAGCCATGGGGACTAGCAAGGTTTTTGAGGTCTTCTTCTGTGACTCCTTTCTCTGGAAGACCAGTTATTTCAACTATGTTTCGCCTCCAGGGAATTTCCTGTAATTAAGAATAATTTTTAAAAAGCTTCACAAAATCAACATGGCAAAGCAAGCTTACATATAATTTAAGGTGGCTCTAGGGATACATAAGAGACTAAAACAGTACTGAAGTAAAATAGTATACCTTTTTCACGATCCTCTTAACAGGAGTTTCTCCTTAACAACAAAACATCAGGTTATAAAAGCTCTGACTCACAAAACAAGCAAAATATATAAATAAAAAATTATTTTTTTAAAACAAACAGAAGATGTTAAAGCTCACCTGGGCCTTTGGCAGGAGGCTTGGCCTTGACTGCCTGTTTCCCTTTAGCTGACGTCTTAGGCATGTCTTTAAATTTAGCTGCTTGTGCTGTCTTGCCCGTGACCCCCTTTACTTTAGATGGTTGAGGTGTTCTTGTTGTGTTGTGGTCTTTTCTATGTTGGGTAATAAAGCAAGAAATTTCATACCATATCATAAATGTGTAGAGAACTCACACTAATCCTTATTTATATATGAAACAAATCTTTCAAGCAATAAACAAAAACACTCACTTCTTGACAACAGTTTTTTTCTGATGTTTGGAATCCCTTGGTTCATCTCTGGCATCCTATACATATAAACAGAAACACCTATTTGGTAACAGAGCTTAGTTTATATTAGTTTGTATTGATAAGGTCTATCAGTCTCTACCCTTGACAGTCATACCTTTTCCATACAGATCTCAATAAGTTTGCCACGCAACTTCAGATCCTGACATCTGGCCAAAGCTTTGGCATCCTCTTCTTTCTCCATACACACTGATGCCTGCCAAATGAAAAGATGTGTGATCTAGACATGCAAACCTTTAAAACAGTCATAATTATATAATAGACGTCAATTTCTGACAGCAGTGGCTGTTCTTGTAGGTTCCTTAACATTAAACCATTAGCTGAACTGCAATACCAGCTGCAGTGAAGTGAGAACATTCAGTAAACAAGACTGACTGCTGAACAGACTAAGCTGTAAGTAAAAAACATTGCATTGACTAAAGAAAATAATGTACACTAGAAAACGTCATCCAACATACCTCTGAGATGGCTTTAAGCAGGATGGCAGTGTGAATCTTGCCAAAGGGCTCAACAGCAGTGACCAGCTCTTGGTGGGTGGTGCCCAGTGGAATGCCCTTCAGCCTAAGCAGGCAGGATGTCCCAGGACCAGCTGGCTTCTTAGATTTATCACTCTAAAGAACAAACCCGAGAGTTCTGTACTTCTGTATGTCTTTCTTAAGCAAATAGCTTAAACAATTAAAATCACTGATGTAAAAAGTATGTGAATATATAAGTTTGTGAACTACTTAGACTGGAAAATGTTACAAAATTTCTAAAGGCATCATCACACAGTTACTAAATGGAAAAAATTCATTACATCTACATTGAATTTTATTCAACGTTTTACAAACTGCACTACACTAAGTCTAATTAAACAGACCTAATAACACTCACTTCGTAATGAAACTTGTAGTTAGTGTTTTTAAGTATTGACAAGATCCACGATACACTCAGAAAAGCGCACTGACATAATTTATTACAATGATAAAATGTCATTTTCCACCCCCGCCTTCTCATGTGTTCATGTAACCTTTTCAGTTAAAACTGTTATTCTGAGCTTATTAAAATTAATTCTGACTAAATAAAATGTCTCATAGACTACCTTGGAGGAGCTGGTTTTTGGGGCAGATGAGCTGCTTGACTTTGAGGATTCGCTTCTTTTAGCGGAGGGAGAGGAAGATCGCTTCCTACTGCTGCTGCTCTTCACCGATGGGGAGGAGGAACTGTTCCTCTTTTTGGCCAGTTCAGCTAGAAGCGCTGGGGCCAATGACTGCACCATTGCCTTCAGACTACTACTGCTAGTTACTGAGGACAGCTCTGCAACAAGAGAACCACATACAAGTTGACTGTATATAAACACAAAAACAAACAAAGAAACAAACAAAAAAAACCTGAACAAGACAAAAAAAATAAAATGACTCATCTTACCTGATGACTGAAGAAGTTTTTTAGCTAGTCTCTCACTGCTACTCGATCTCTGCTGGCGAGAAGGACTGTTCCGACGGGGGCTCACTCTACGAGAACTCCGCACAGGAGAGCGCCTACTGCTGCTGTAGCCTGGTGATCTTGATCGCCGTCCGGGAGGGGTGCGAGACCTCCGTCGGTATGAGGGTGAACCACCCCGAGTCTTCCTGGGGGGGGACCGGGATCGGCTTCGAGAACGGGACCGACGGTACCTCCGAGGGCTTCGTGAGCGGGAACGAGAACGCTGGCGACGGCTTGACGAACCATGGTGACGCTTGGGGCTAGGACTTCGAGAGTAGGAACGTGAATGGCCATGACGTTTTGGACTGCGACGTTCCAACTTCGGCTCAGCACTGTAACAAAAGCGCATTCATGATAAAACTACAGATTAATGAAACAACTAGAAATAAATAAAAAAATACATAAAAAAGAAAGACATTTATTCTTAGGGCATAGAAAAATTTCATCACTCACCTAGTAACAGAAATTGCCTCCACATTCCAGTCGGGATATCTACGAAAATTATGTAAATTTGTAATTACTTATTATTAAAAAAAATTAATAATAATAATAATAATAATAATAATAATACTACATTTAAATGAATTTAAACTTACTGTTTTCTCAGACGCCTACAACTTTCAATGTGAAGATTTGTGTTCTGATGTTCAATCCAATCCTGTCACAGAAAAAAAGTCAAAGAATAGTGACAAAGTCCAAAATAAACATTTTGCTGTCCAGGATATTTAATTACTTATTAACACTGCATAGTCTCTACCTGCTGTTACTTTAATGTTCTAAAAATTCTTCAACGTGTGAAACAACATCAGGTTCCACTTTTTAGAAAGAAATCCAGTGGAAAAGTTACAAAATACAAAATACAAAAAAAGGCAATGAACATAAACATTGCTTTATCAAAGCATGATTAAAAAGACTGTGTACCACACCAAATAAAGTAAAATAATCACTAGTCAATGAAGTTTCATACTTCATATAATAAAATACATTGGTTAGTAAATAGTCATTCATACTGTTGCTTAAAATGTCCTTCTTGGAATACAGTCCCATTTTTTTTACCACAGGTAGACTACAGATTACAAATTACCTAAAAAGGAAAAAAAAGAAAAAAAAAAACAGGCCCTAATTCGCTCCAATAAAAGCGGTGATTCAGTAAATGAAAAAGTCATCAAAAAGGTCCGCTGAGGTTTCTTCTCACAGGTCACTGACTTCTTCATCTTGAGTGATGTTCAGTCCAAAACTCGTGATTAAGAGAATCCCGTTCCACCACAGTTCATGTTTTCTGTGTGTCCTTAAGACCTTCAGGAAATACACAGTAGTCTTCTCTCCAACAAGAAATGAAACTAAGTAACCCATGGCTGGGAATAGCCAGGTAACAGCCAGTTTCATCACATTTAAAACTAACCTGCTATTTCCAGCACTTTTATCTGTTCAATCTATCGCCAGTCCTCCACAATTTAGTGACATTAAATACATAATTTCAACTGAATTCTCAGAAGCATGAGAAAGCAATTTAAACCAACTTAAAGAATTTTACATTACTGCTTTTTCATTTTATTTCATGTTTTTTTTTTTACATTTTTAAGTCACTGTGAGGCAGCACAAAAACAATGAGTCACTTCACACATCATGGAATTTAGACAACAAATTTAATAGAAATGTTTCAGAAATAAAACTTTATGGTAGGAGCAGATACTCACCTTAATCTGGATACATTCTATGTTACATAGAGAGCATGTATGGGGAAAAATTCTTGGGGTAGCAGCTGAGTAATCGTTCATCATGGTGGGAGTTGGTAGCCTCTTTGCAGCTGGAGCAGTAACTGAAGTAGGAGGGAAGGCAGGGGGCCAGGAGAGTTTTGGACTTCCAGAGTCCAAAGGGATCATAGGCGCTAAGGGACCAACAGCAAGAGGAGGTGGCATCTGTGGTGGTCGACTGACAGGTGGTGGTATAGGCGTGGCAGTAGGCAGTCTTCCAGGGATTGTCTTGGCACCTTGGATCTCCAAGCTCTGTGAAGCAGATCTTGGATTCATTGCTGGAGGCTGCTGAAGCTTTGGAACCATAACTGGAGCCTGGACAGGAACTTGGACAGCTGGATTTTGCAGTGGGCGCTTGGTTATGTCAACATCACTGAAGGATGAGCCTGACACTTCCCTCTCATACTTGGATGGCTCTTTAGTAAGGCGGTCATGTGAATAGCTGTCTGATTTCTCCTCGGGAAAACCAAATTTACTAGAATGTCCATAATCAATGACTTTGCTTTGTCGTGTCTCAGAGACCAGAAGATCAGATGAAGTCCTCAGATCAGGGTCAGGGACACTCCTCTTGGCCTTGCGCATGCGGATGTCTCGCAAAATGAAGGGCAGGTTGTCTGGAGTCAGTTGATCATCAGGGTAGTGGCTAAGCAGCTCGAGATCTTCACTTGAGAGTCCAAAACTTGCCAAGATGCTGCTGGCACTCTCTGAGGTATAACGTGTAGGCTGGAGTTCTGGAGGAGGCTTGCTGTCCAAACTCCTTGGACCTCCACTGTTGCCAAAACCTGAAGACTGGAACAGCTGTGAAGAACTGGAGGAATGACCTATATTCGAGGAAGCAAAAAGTTTACCAGGAGCCTGGTAAACAGTCCAGTCCACATCATCAGACCTTCCCCGAACGCTAGACACCGTATAACCACTGCCTCCTGGAGGAAGCACCTCATCTCCAATGTCTTTCCTCAAGCGGGGATCTGCTGATTTCGGCTGTTGCAGCATTTGAGTAAGCAGTCGCACTTCCTCCCGGGCTCCACGAATGTTCATATCTATCGCGGCATCAAGATCCTGGGACACATGCGGCTGACGCTGGGCCAGTGGAAAAGTCATCTGCTGGTTTACCATCATTCCTCCATGAGGACTAGACATGGAGTCAGGGCCAAGACGAGCTCCTCCAGTCTGTGACCCAAGACCATACTGCCCCGTTACCATGGATCTCTGACCACTGGAGAATGGTCCTCCACGGGGATTATACATAGGATGGGACATGGTAACTTTGAGCAGGTTGAGCAAGGTCAGGGCAGGTGAAGCAATAAAAGGAGGGGTGATGTTTCCGGCAGCAATCACATTCAGCTGGTGAAGTGCCAGCTGAGCCTTTATCTGGGCCAACTGGAGGGAGGCAGGTCCAAATAGAGGCGGGCTCCTAAAGTTGCTCAAGGAATTCGTAACAGGGGGCACACAACTTTCCAAGAACAACGCAAAGCTGAAAAAGTTGGGGGAAAAAAACACAGACAGGGTTATTGGCTTGCTGTCTTCATGTCTAGACACGAGGGCCAAGAAGCCTGCGATTTTTCCCCCCTTTTCTGCCACACGCTTAGATTTTTTTCATTCAATTGGACTCAGCTTTTCTGGTCTTCACTGAAGTGGGAAAAACAAAGCAAACAAATTACATAACAGACAGGGGATTATTTACTGTACGTTTAAGAACAAGGATGGCCTAAGCCCAATGCATAAATTTGAAGAAGAAGAAAACAGGCTTAGGAACAGTAGTCACACAACCTAACACAAAGTTTTAGATTAAATCCTTGTTAGGGCTAGCCCAAATATCATTTTACAGTTTTTAAATGTGCAGAGATATTTCCAAACATTACTAAACTATAAAATGCTTCTTCTTGTCTGATGCTAAAACGCCTAGGACAATATGTAGGGCATGTAGCCTAACGAGCAACAGGCCTACTTGGAGAGGGATCGCAGCACTTACAGAACTGAGACAAGTTCTCTCAACTTGTCATGCCTCCATAGTAGAGCTGCATGACGTATCCCACTTTTTCCATCATTCTACTATGAGATTCCCAATGTGTATACAGCAAAGGATTACGATAACAGAACGGACACAATATTTCACAATCACACATCAGGCTTTCTGTCTATATTGTGTTGTCCTACTCTGAAAACCAACATAACAAATACTCAGAAAATCCGAATTTTCCCAGGCCCGCCATAATCCCTGGAACAGGCCACAAGTCAGAATTAAACAAACAAACAAACAAACAAAAAAAAGATTACGGAGGGAGAATTTCCAAACATTTGCAAATGTAAGTGATATATTCCCACAAACAAATTCAAGACATAGTTCTGCCATTTAAGCAGTTGATTCAAGATTTTAAAAAAGAAAAAAGAAAAAGAACCGTGATATCATTTGAAAGAGAAAGAAGTAAAAGCAGGACAACACTAATTACATAATATTACAAAATTAAAAACTATTACAAAATGTTGCAAGCACCAGTAAAGTCCAGAAATGCTCGCAATGAAAGATATCAGGCTTTCCAAGTTTATGTGCCTATTGTTACTTTGAGGTGACCCTTACATGTCTTTACTCATTAAAGAATCAAACCACCTGTATAAATCACCTTAAAGTAAACATAAAGGCTTGAGTATTGAGATTGATGTGTTTTCACTAAATACCCCAGTATTTTACTGAATTTGAAGTGTAGTTTTGAGGTTATTACAAAAACTTAAAAACAAAAAAACTTTTTCCTTTTGCTTTCACTAACAACTGAGATGTATCCAAAATCACTGATATGGCAGCCGCCTACAACAGCTTAGCTCCATGCTAAATCTAACACTGTTGACCTCGCAAATCAAAATGTTAGTCTCAAATGAGTCAGAATAGCAGATCTCTAAATCAGGGCTGGTTTTGTTAACATCACGGCTTACTTTACCTGAAACAGGTAATCCTTATCCCTTTGCAAAATCAGTATATTATGATCATCTCCGCCTCACTGCTGACAACCTTCAACACGGCTTAAACTGATTTTTCTGTAATGCCTGAAACACCATCAGCAAGCAATACTCTGAAATCTATTTATTGTATTAACTTTCCCCCATTTTACTTATGGCCAACATCCACTGTGACACATCAGTTCCTCATCACAAGTCAAATACCACCAATCTATGAAGATAAACGCTGTAATATGCCTTTTCTGAAGCATTTAAGCTGCCAAAACCTCTCTTAGAAAAACTAAATTCAAGTATCATTAAAATACTACCACTATTACTACTACTACTACTACTACTACTACAAACTAAATTCATTTACTAACCAACATTGTATGAGGAACAAAACACACGATAAATCATAGTTAAGCAGCCAGAATGTCTTGGTACATCTGAAACAAAACAAAAAGTAACTACAGTGCAGCAGTACTTCTGTACAAGGAATGCAAGACCATATTCCGGAGAGTACAGGGAGTAGATATGCAGGGAAAAACATAGGCTCACTATTTTTGAAGTGATAACCTCAAGTAAACTGAACGCTGATAGCTGATGTGCTCTACAGTGAACATACAGTGTTCATGAGGCTCATCAGGCCTACTTAGGGGGTCAGTCCGAGGCCAGCGCTCTCTATTTCTCTGACAAAAACAAAACAGGTGACAGAAGGTAGTCATCACGGGACACTTTCACATCTCACAGCGATTATAATGCTTCAGAAATATGCTAAATATTAGCCATTTAACGCAAAACCGTTCGTCCTGTCGCTGTTCCGGACGGAGCTAGCGTTAGCTTCTGAAGCTACAGATGCTACAAATACTCTGCAGCTCTGCTGAGTCTGACTGAATGTACAGGACTTTGTCATAAGCTCAACAGTAAAATAACGATACACAAGTAAAAATGGTAAAAATGCGCAAGTTGCATTTAAGCAAAATAAAGGTTTTGCTGACAAATTAGTGAAATGTTTGCAGGCCGCAGACTGGCCTTCTCTGAGGGAAACAGAAACCGAGAGCTAACTTTAACTTCGACATCACCGACATCCGAAAATAATAACATCTACGAACATAGGAGGGCTCAGCCACACCGCTGTGCTCCCCATATAAAAACACACACCTCGTATTTAATACCTAGGTCATTATGGTGGGAATCCCTCGACGTAAAGCGCTGGAGATTCAAACGCGCTGCTGTCCGATCAGATTTTGCTCACTCTGTTCACACTGCGCCCCTCAGCGGCTCCCTGACACGGCTTCACAGACCCGATTAAACCATTACAGAACCGCACAAACACAGATTCAGACCAACCAATTGAAGCGCGTAAAAGCTTAAAGGAGAGCTATCTTTTTTTTCAAAATGCCCCCATAATGAAGCAATTAAGATGTAAACAAAGTCATTTAGAGTGGTTTGATAAAAAATGCTCCGCTCTAGAGAAAAAAAAAGTCAAAATTGTTCACGGTGGTGGTTTTGGGAACCAGAGGAACGTCTGAAGAGTTTAATGCCTCTAAAAGCTGTATCACAGAAAGTTGTTACATGGAATAGCAAATGCTCTAACTGGCTGATGCCTGAGATGATAGTTTTTATAAGGTTTTGGCTTTAAACGTATTTTTAAAATCCAGTTATGGCAGAGATACATACAGGGTGTTGTAATGCAAAATAGTCACATATCACATATAAACTTAGAAAACACATGTAGGTTCACTGGTGGTTTGGGTAGTAAACAAGATCCCTGGTTCCTATCACCACCACTGTAAAGAAATAAAAGTTGGTACGTTTCCTACAATGCAGCTTTTGAAACCACTCTGAGTGACACTGTTTACATTTCAACTATTGAATTATGCAGAAATGATGGGAAATCTGTGTAATTCCCCTTTAAGGAGATTAAAAGATTAAAAACTGCAGATCTGAGTAATATGACAACAAATATAATTATTGTGATTAATTATGTCACAATAGCACACAATATACTTTTCTGAACATATCATGGAAATCACTAGTATTGTAGAACATTAAACAGCTGCATGTTTCATTATAAAGAGAGGAAAATGAATCCTATTTAACTGGATTTAGTGCAACACAGTATGCCAAATATCAAACAAAAATCATTCATCAATCGTTGATGAATCAATCGTTCGCAGATTTTAACAATGTAGCATTGCTGATTCCGTTTCCTCTGTTCCTACTGATCAGACGTCTGAAAAAATAAATATTGTGACGTCATATATCATGAAAATGTCTTGAAGTATCATGATATCATATTTTTGTCATATCACTCACCTCTAAGCTGCACACATTCTGACTATGTCTCATCATGCTCAAAACATAAAGTGCATTTTTCAAAAGATATTCTTAATAGACAACTATTAGCTGGCTCATGAAAGTTGCTGGGCTGACTCATGTTACCCAGGAGGTGGCAGTGTTTATCTACTGATAACAGGCAGGTGGAGCCTGAGGCCTAAAAGGTACAAATCACTCAGGGCCCACTGGACTCAGGCCCAGGGGCCCCAACCAGCATAGATTCATAATAGGTTTGCCTTACTTACAAACTGTTTACACAATCTAGCACGATAACATAACACAAGCCAACCAAAGCCCACCACAAACGTTTGCTCTGACAAAAATGTTTTGCTCATGACTATCAAACATTTTAGGAAGAGCCTCAGGTAAATGTCAGAACAACAGCAGAGCTTCAAATAAGGCGATTTTTTTTATTTCAATGAAGCATGTAGGGTATTAAAATGCAAGGATCCAATCAGCGTCTTTCTACTTGGGAAACATCATTAAATTCTTGGGTTCACTACCTGGCTTTCCATTTCTAATGGCTAGTTTGGAATCTGTTGAAGGCTCTGTGATTTGAATTCTTATCATTGGGTCTGAAGGCTGAGATACACCAACATTACTCTCGTATTTCAGCAGCTGAAACAAGAGATTTACTGATGTCAGACTTACAAGACCACTATTGTCATTGCCAGGATGTGTCTCATTGTTTTTCTTCTGTATTTAGCATAACCTAACTGCTGCTCCATGTCTCTCTGCCTTGTCATCCATTGCACACATGAACACTTTGCACAGCGAAAACTGCTATTGCTAGTTATTTTGCTATTGGTAGCAACGTGTTATCTTGCTACTCCTTTAGATCGCTGTTCATACAGTGACATGCAGAGTAAATTCAGAAATCATAATGTGTTTTCTTTCTGTATTATGACATATTTGTGAATAAATCAAATACTAAGACACTAGAGGTGAGTCTGAGTCAAGACTGAGACTTTGTAGTAGTTGAGACCGAGACAAGACCGAGGCTGAGACCAGATTAAGACCAGATTAAGATTTTTCTTAAAAAAGGAAAAGATTTTTCTTAAAAAAAAATTAAAAAAGAGATCTACTTAATATCTCCATAGTTTCTCATAGACATCAATTAAATCAAATGGAAAGACAAAGGAAATGTTTGCTCTCAGATATTTCTCCTGAGCAAAAGAGCCAAGTAATCTCACTTGTGTC